ATCAAATATAAAAAGGAAAAGTGAAAATTTCTGTCCAAAAACTTTATAACACTGCCCCATTTCCCAATAATAATTTTTTAATCCCCCCCCCCACATCATTTAAAATCTCCCCTATATAGATCAAATGAGGGTTAGCAATATTAGTGGTTTATATGTTTAAAGGGGAACTATTTTGTCCTAACAGGACTGAGACAAAGTTTATAAAGACCCTCTAATTACAGAGTGGCTGGTCCGATGTACAAAGGTGCCATTTAAATCTTGTCTTTATCTACATTCCACACATTAAGGTATGAATCGTAGAAGAGAATTGAATTTGTAAATAATCAATTTTCAGTCAACAAATTCAGGAATACCTCCATCGTTTTTGAGCAGATAGAGATGGTTGAATTGAAGGGTTACTTGAAATTACGTATTCAGTTCCTTCAAGGGATTGAAGAAAGGTGTACTTTAAAGTTTAAATTTGTGAATAACTGTTTGTCTAAGAGCAGTCTACGCTGTCTATTTATTTTCTACTCTGTCTTTTCTGACTGTCTAGTGTCTACTGTCTATTTGTTCGTAAAATAAACTATAATTCATATTTTAAACAGCTGTATTTCAGTAGGATTATCTGCGTTAATAAAATTGTTTTGTAATTTTTTTTCAAATATATGGTTTTAATCTTGTTTTTCAGAATTCCTTACAAATATTTTGAGCTCTAACAATGGAAAATGTCACCAGGTCAACGGTTTTCTGGAGTCTGAAATCCCGGTGTTCCCAGTGAATTTCTGAACTCAGCTTCAAGGAACCTTTTTTAGAAGTTTAGTTCATCGCGGTCGAGAGAGGTGAGTAGCTTTGTTATAACTCAACGTCGTAGACCTTTGATATTTCAAACTATGAATTCTGTTAGACCAAATAATCTAAGTTTGAAATATCAAGGGTTTACATCATCAGATTGTAAAGATATAGGGATTAGACAATTTTAGTTTGTGAAAAAAAACTCAGTTCCTTCATTTATAAATTGATTCTCTAAAAAATTGACATATCTTTTAAGAAAGAAAAACGACAATATCTCCGATAAAGATTTAAAGGATAGCATGTTGTGAATTGCACGCTTTCATTAGAACCATCTGATTTTCTTATATTTCTCCGTCAAATTTAGCCACAAACTCATATTTTATAATCCCTATATCTGTGCAACCTGATGGTTTAAACCTTTAAACTTAAATTATTTGGTTCAAGAGAATTCCTAGTTTGAAATATCTAAGGTCTACGACTTCGGGTTACAAGATTATAGAGATTAGAAAATTAGAATTTTTGACAAAAACTCAATTCCTTTCTACCAAAATAAACTTTAAAACAAAAATTTAATAACAATCGTGTTGATATAATAGCAAAACAACATTACACGGAAACGAGCAAAAAAAATTTTTCCTTTAAACAAAAAATTGAAAATTTGATTTTCATTTGAAATATCGTCCCTGTAACAAGACCTCTGTGTGTAGATGCCGGATGAGAAGAAAAAGGTGTTTATAGTGCAGCCGACCTCTAACGGCAGGTTTACCGTTATACCACACAATACAGAGGAGGAACCAAGTAAGCATATTTAAAGGGGAAGTTTACGGAAAACGAAAGTGGGTTTAGGGTGAATTATGGCTAAATTGTGAGTATATTTGTACAACTGTTATCGGTCACGAGGCTAAAGAGATGAGTACTGAAAGTTCGTCTTTAAACTTTACTTTATTTAAGAAACTAGTTAATAAAGAAATTTAAAAAAACATTCTTTTCCATTCTCACTGTTAACTAAATAGAAGGAGAAGGTTAAATCTAATGTGACATTACTGGTGCGATTGTGTGACCTCCTAGCTCCTCTAGGAGTATGAGAAAACAAATCTATCCGAATACACATATTAGAAATTTGAGTCTTTGCCACTAACTCAAATTTTATAATCCCTATATGTTTGCATCCTGAGACCGAATTTAAAGAATTTGAGCAACGGCTTAAATTTTAGTTGTGGCTCAAATATTGTTGATTCCACTTAAAATTTTTCAAGACGCTTAATTAAAACTGGTGTTTGTCAGATTTAAGCCACGGCTCAAATTTATTAAATTCGAACAATGTTGGTGTAAACCTTTGATATTTCAAACTTAGATTATTTAATCTTAAATTGAATTTAAAGTTTGAAATATCTAAGGTCTACGACATTGGGTTAGAAAGATATTAGGATTAGAAAATCAAAGATTGTGGCAAAAACATTTTTGTTCTTCTCAATAGCTTTTCAGAAAACGGAGTTATGATCGAAAATATAGAAGATTTAAACCTTACAATTTACTTTAGTTTAAAGGGACTGTAAGCATAATTTCAAGTGACCCTCCATGCAAAGATGGCAATGCCCGATTTACTACAGTACAGCACCCTTGAAAGCTTTGTCGGATCAAGTATGAAAGTGACTCACGCATTACTTGTATATAAGAAGCAATGGAGAAACAGAAATAAATACTTTTCAAGTTCGAAAAACAACGGTATTTTTTATCAAATTAATGTTTTAAGGGTAATGTTGTAAATCGGGCATTGCCATCTTTGCAGAAATGGTCATTTGAAATTTCGCTTTCAGTCCCCTTAACTTGTGTTTCTTAATTCTCCTTCGTTAACTCTTCTAATTACGTAGGAATATGTGACAATGTAGATAATTACCAATATCCTAGAATTAATTACACTAATTAGATCCAATTAATCTAAGGAGGGTAAAGGTGTGTATTTAGAGAAATTAATTCTACATTAGTCCTGCAAATTCAAATTTATATTTACAGTTTGCAAAATATTTTAGTTGTTTAACAAATGAGCTAAAATTTGCCCTCAAAATTTTTCATAACTTAATATTTTTTAATGTTACAAATTACATTTATTATTATATTGTTGTGTTCATCTTGTAAAAAAATTTCTCCCTTAAAGAGACAATAGCTGCGTAATTTCAAATAACCCTCCATGCAAAAATGGCCATGTCCGATTTACAACGGTACCCTGGAAACCTTTATCTGATCAAAAATTTGGAAGATTTGTTTTCTGACTCGGAAAGTGTTAATTTATGTGAATTTCTCCATTGCTTCTTATAAACAAGAAATGCTCAAGTCACTTTCGCAAAGAAACCGCAAATTAAATTGAACAGTTTAAAGAAACAAAAATATTGATATCTAGATCATACTTGATCAGACAAAGCTTTCAGGGGTACCGTTGTAAATCAGGCTGCAGCCATCTTTTCTTGGAGGGTTAAGCAATCTTTAAGCACAACTCTATTTTCTAAAGATAAATTGATAAAAAAAATCAGTTTTGAATTTCTAAAATGCAACAAAACAAATTTGATTCCCTCTTGGGTATTCACATTTAAGGAAAATGAAAAGCCAATTTGCCAATGCAACTTAATTTACCGATTTTTAAATTGTAAAAAATCTAGTTTTATTAACCAATATTTAAAAATAAATGTCGTAGACCTATGATCCTTTACAATATCAGTATCATCTGTATTCTATATATCTAACAACAAAAGTTTGAAATATTTCAGGTTAACACCATCAGGTTGCAAAGATATATGGATCCGAAAATTAAAGTTTGTGACAAGTGCTCAGTTCCTTTTATTATTTAGCCTTATTTAGATTAGGGAGAAAATGCACTTTGGATTTGATTGATGGATATTTAAAAGAAAAGAAAATAAAAAGCTACAGAAATTGATACAATGTTTATGTTAGATTTTTATTTAAAAGTCTGGCAGCAGAACAAATTTGTTTTCATAGCACTTCCGCGAGCATTCGGGTAATTACAAGAAAGCGTAAAACTCTATATCTTTCAAACCCAATATCGAAAACCTTAGATATTTCTAACTATGAATTTTGTTAAATCTAATAATAAATTTTAACTTGTTGCATAGACTAAATTCCTTTATGTATTATTAAAAATGAAGGGCCCGGCGTTGCCAGTGGAAAAAAAATTTCGAATTATTTTTTAGCCTATTACACCCCCGGCCACCCCTGAGTGTCCACAAAAAATTTCAGCCCAATTGGTCCAGCCGTTTGGCCCGCTATACGCAACATATATATATATACGAACGTCTTGTTTTATTATATAGATAACAAAGAGCATACAAATATTAGTATAATAGAAAAAAATTGCATGGGATGCAAATGGAAAAACTAATTGTATTCTACTTCTTCTTGTCACAAGGATAAAAATTTAAAGTTTGTGTCAAAAACACAGTTTCTTTGCAAAGTTAAACAATATCTATTCGTGGTTGTAATAATATTTATCAAAACAATGCCTTTTTTTTAACTTAAAAAGTAATTGAGACATAAGAAATTTATTAGGTTTCAGTTTTGTAAAGCAATCAAAATTGTTATTTGAATTATTTTTAAAGATAGAGATACTTGTTATTACTTAAAATAAAAATTCATATTTTGTTTTCAGTACTATTTTTTATTCATTAGATATAAAAAATCAGTTAGGTTACTATTTATTTCCGCAAACTCTAATTTTCTAATCCTTATATGTGTGCAAACTGATGTCGTAGATCTCAAATATATAAAACTATAACTTCTGCTCGATAAAATATTTTAAAGTTTAATAACTATTTATAACACTGTTATTTTGGTTCGCAGTGTTATAAAGGTTTTGGACAGAAATGTTCTCTTTATTAAGAAGGTTCTCGCCTTTTTAGATTTAATTTTGTCCTGAGCTTTATCGATGGACAAAATATAATCTAAAAAGGCTTGAACCTTCGAGATAAAGAGAAAATTTCTGTCCAAAAACTTTATAACACTGCGGAACAAAATAACAGTTTACAGTTTCATAAAATATTAAATGTTTACATCAACAGACTGCAACTTGAGCAAAGATCACAAGTTTTGAAAATTAGATTAGATTTTCGGGCGACTATTTATTTTTTTGTTTTGTTTTTGGCCGATTAGTTATCTGACTTTTTATGGTGATTAATCAGTTAATTTACTTACTTTGGGCAATTTATCAGTTGAAAAAAAAATTCGGGCGATTAATCATTTTTTTTAATTTTTTGGCAAATTAATCAGTTTTTATATTTTTTTGGGCGATTAATTAGTTACTTTCTTTAGAATACCCTGTTGGAGAATATATAGCTGTATTCTGGCGAACATGGTTGGTTGTGTTAGCTCCGTTTATACTCAGTCCTATCATTCTAACAAGCTATGGGGATCCAGAGGTATGTGTGTACACTGTACAGTATCTACAAAATAATCTGGACAGTGATGGTTATTTTCTTGACAAATTATCCCCCCATTAAAATATTTTTTTGTTCGTTTTTTAAAAGTTTTATTCAATGGATTGGGAAAAATGAAAAAGTATGAAAAAGGATGAAAATGTCCAATTTTTCAATTTCCCCTCCAGATCTTCAAAAATTTTAAGATATACTGCAAACGACGAATTTTAGACCTAAATCTTGCTTAAAATCCGTATACAGTGGGACTCATAAAATCCTTATAAAGTGGGACTCATAAAATCCTTATGCAGTGGGACTCATAAAATCCTTATACAGCGGGACCCATAAAATCCTTTTACAGTGGGACTCATAAAATCCTTATACAGTGGGACTCATAAAATCCTTATACAGTGGGACTCATAAAATCCTTATACAGTGGGACTCATAAAATCCATATACAGTGGGACTCATAAAATCCTTTTACAGTGGGACTCGTAAAATCCTTATACAGTGGAGCTCATAAAATCCACTTATACAGCGGGACTCATAAAATCTTTATACAGTGGGATTCATAAAATCCTTATACAGCGGGACTCATAAAATCCTTATACAGCGGGACTCATAAAATCCATATACAGTGGGACTCATGAAATCCTTATACAGTGGGACTCATAAAATCCTTATACTCATAAAATTCACTTATACAGCGGGACTCATAAAATCTTTATACAGTGGGACTCATAAAATCCTTATACAGCGGGACTCATAAAATCCTTATACAGTGGGACTCATAAAAGCCGTATAGAGTGGGACTCATAAAATCCTTATACAGTGGGACTCATAAAATCCTTTATTCTGACAACCACTTTATTCTGACAGCCACTTTATAATGGCAACCACTTTATTCTGACAACCACTTTATTCTGACAACCACTTTATTCTGACAACTTTATTCTGACAACCACTTTATTCTGACAACCACTTTATTCTGACAACCACTTTATTCTAACAACCACTTTATAATGGCAACCACTTTATTCTGACAACCACTTTATTCTGGCAACCACTTTATAATGGCAACCACTTTATTCTGACAACCACTTTATTCTGACAACCACTTTATAATGGCAACCACTTTATTCTGACAACCACTTTATTCTGACAACCACTTTATTTTGGCAACCACTTTGTTCTGGCAACCACTCTATTCTGACAACCATTTTATTCTGACAACCACTTTATTCTTACAACAACTTTATTCTAACAACCACTTTATTCTGACAACCACTTTATTCTGGCAACCACTTTATTCTGACAACTACTTTATTCTGGCAACCACTTTATTCTGACAACTACTTTATTCTGACAACCACTTTATTCTGACAACTTTATTCTGACAACCACTTTATTCTGACAACCACTTTATTCTGGCAACCACTTTATTCTGACAACTACTTTATTCTGGCAACCACTTTATTCTGACAACTACTTTATTCTGACAACCACTTTATTCTGACAACTTTATTCTGACAACTATTTTATTCTGACAACCACTTTATTCTGACAACCACTTAATTCTGACAACTACTTTATTCTGACAACCACTTTATTCTGACAACCACTTAATTATGACAACCACTTAATTCTGACAACCACTTTATTCTGACAACTTTATTCTGGCAACTTCTCTTTAGTATATAATCTGTTAGCATTATTTCAACTGATCCCATATTAAGGAGTTGTATTCACAACGGTACCTTATTCACCTTAATCTGCGGGCTATAAAAGGGAAGATATTGTAGTTTCTTTAGCTTGAAAACAGCTTGTTTCTTACCATTTTCTTCATGGTTTCTGTATTAATAAATCCGCTAGTGACAATTAATGAAAAGCCCCAATTGAAAATTATTTCTTTTAAGAGAAAATGATGGATATCTCATGTATTATTGATCAGAAAAAGGTCTTAGGGTATCGTTGTGAATTTGGCATCTACGAAGTAAAGATTGAAGGTCGCTCAAAATTACGTGTATAGTCCCTTTAAGGGGGGGGGGGGTGCAGGGTACAATTAATCTTCTACCAACCTTTAATTTTCCTAGGTTTTAGTAGAAAACCTTTTTTCATTATTTTATTTTTACCTTTTTCTAATACATTTGTCACTATTTTTCTAATACATTTGTCACTCTTTTTCTAATACATTTGTCACTCGTTTTCTAATACATTTGTCACTCTTTTTCTAATACATTTGTCACTCTATTTCTAATACATTTGTCACTCGTTTTCTAATACATTTGTCACTCTTTTTCTAATAAATTTGTCACTTATTTTTATAATAAATTTGTCACTCTTTTTCTAATACATTTGTCACTCGTTTTCTAATACATTTGTCACTCTTCTTGCACTTTTTTCATAAGATTTTCAATTAACTACAGGGTGTCCCTGAAAGAAAGGGTGACAAGGGTTTTGTAGCTCATTTTTTTTGCATTCAAAAGTCTCAAATTTGGCCCGCATTATATAAATTTTAATTTTGCAGAGAATCTTTCTTACATTGTTTATTGAAAGCCTGGCTTCTGATACATGAAAGTATTAGATATATCAGAATTATTGTGATTTTCAGTTAATGGTGTAGCGAATTTGTTTGTAAAGTTAAATATTGCAAAATAAATCAGATATACTACTAATCTAATTCCGCCAATTTTAACAGTTAAATAGGGGGCTATTCAATTTAACATGGAGAAAAAGAACCCCCTCTTTATTTCTATTTAGAAAAGTAGAAAAAAGATACGCAGAATTTACCACTTTTTGGTCATTTATTTATTTTTATGTATAATACAGCTTCTTTTCTCTAGAAATATTTTATTACTTATTTTTTTAAATTGTCATAACTTTCAACGTTTTAATAAATTAAATCCTCAACTCCGCAAACCAGAATTCAATTCAACTAAGATAGCATGAATTATAATTGGTTTTGCAAATTCTTTAGAATATTCCTCAAATCTTTTCATTATGCATGAATTGAAAACCATTGTAAGATGTCAATAAAAGACCTATTCTGTAAAAAGGTCTAAAAGTATGGAATTAATGAAAACATGGCTTAAATATGGTTTCCACAGCAGGTTCAAAATTATGCAACATTTCCTGAATATGTAGTTTTTTAATAATTTTAAATATCTGAATTTTTAATTTACTTTCATCTCTTTTTTATTCTGATCTGTTTTTAGACGGACGAGGCGATGAAGTGCGCCTATGTGATTCTGTTGATGGCAACCTACTGGATGACGGAGGCATTACCCTTACCCATCACATCAATGATACCAGTGGTAAGTTTATCCCCGTTATGTAACCACCATATCAATAATACCATTGGTATCATATCAATGATACCATTGGTAAGTTTATCCCCTTTACGTAACCATCATATCAATAATACCATGGGTATCATATCAATGGTACCAGTGATAAGTTTATCACCAATATTAACCACCATATCAATAATACCATTGGTATCAATCAATGATAACAGTGATAAGTTTATCACCAATATATACCCATCATATCAATAATACCATTGATATCATATCAATGGTACCAGTGACAAGTTTATCACCAATATTAACCACCATATCAATATTACCACTTACCAGTAGTAAGTGTATTTCCTAATATCAATGAAACCAGTACACTGCAGTGGTATGTATAACTCTTACCCATCACATTAATAATACAAGTGAAGGGGTTAGTTTATCATTGCCCTTACTTTTTTATCAAAAATGTGGTTTAATAAGATCTTTGTCTGATTTTTCTATTTTTATCTGCTATATTATATGAAGTATGGTAGCTCTACCCCTGCTAGGGTTAATGTCTACTGGAGAAGTAACAATCAGCTACCTGAACTAATATCTACTATATATATAATATATAGGTAGCTCTTCCCCTGCTAGGGTTGATGTTTACTAGAGAAGTAGCTATCAACTCCCTGAACTTTATATATATATAGGTAGCTCTACCCCTGCTAGGGTTAATGTCTACTGGAGAAGTAACAATCAACTACCTGAACTAATATCCACTATATATATAAAATATATAGGTAGCTAGGGTTGATGTCTGTAGCTCTACGCCTGCTATGGTTGATGTCTACTAGAGAAGTAACAATCAACTACCTGAACTAATATCTACTATATATAATATATAGGTAGCTCTACCCCTGCTAGGGTTGATGTCTACTGGAGAAGTAGCAATCAACTACCTGAACTCGACGAACTACATGTTCCTGGGTGGCCTCATAATGGCTATAGCCGTAGAGCATAGTGGACTTCATAACAGAGTAGCTCTGAGGATAATTATGAGGGTAAGCCATGATCCTAAATCTTTCTTAATTTTGGAAATAATGAAAACATATGTTTATTATCAAGATTTTATCCAACACTGTAAGAGATAGGAAAGGCGAGAAGAGTAATTTTTTCCAAAATTTAAGTTAATTTTTAATTTTAAACAACTCCCAACCCTACTCTCTATCACTAGAATTACATTAATTTACTATTTTACCAAAAACTTTTGCATCATCAGGATTTCCTCCTATATTATTACAGATATAAACAAAAACAAACAAAAAAATTTAGACAATGAATATATAAAAATAAATAATTCAAAAAAAACAACTTTAATAAACAAAAAAAACAAGAAAATTGTGTAAACTTTACAATAAGGATTTTTTCAAATATATAATGTCAAAACAAATAAAACTTAAAAAGTCAATTAGAAAATTAAAATACTGTACCTTACTCAATTGAAGGGTATTGAATGACTGGAAATTTTTATTTAGCTACAAAACCTTTTTTTATCCGCTCCATGCATTGATGGGGAAAGGGAAGAGAAGAATATTTACAGGACAATAATTAATAATTACCTTTGAAAAAATTCTTAAGTTTTAAGGACAAATATTTTTAGGAAGCTTGTCGTAAAGTGATCTTTAATGTCATAGTGGTGTGACTAAAGTATGTAGTTTGTAGTTTATATACAGGGTGTCCCAAAAAACATGGGAATTCAGTGACGAATTCGATATCGTCTTTGTTATACATTAGCATTGTGATACCTGATTTCAACAGCCATATATTATTATGTCTGCTAGAGTTTATTTTATGAAAAGGGTAAAAGACTGCAATGATGTGTCTATAATGTCTCCGCAAGATGAACAGTGAATACGGACAAGTTTACTCTGTTTGTATACTGTAATTTTCTTGTTTTACTAAGTACAACCGGTTGCAGTCAAAACATAAACAAACAAAATGTAAACATAGCAGACGAAACTCTTACAGATTACAGCTTTCTCAGTAGGTATCACTATACTAAATCAAAGAATTATTTGAAAAGACGATATCGAATTCGTCACTGAATTCCCATGTTTATTGGGACACCCTGTATCTACATTATATAAAAAAGTAGGATATTGGTGGAACTGTTCCAACAATATGGTTTTGCCTTCAACTATACTATACCAGGGTGTACTTCAATCAAACCCAAGGAATATAACAGGAACGCCCATAAAATGTACTGCAGTTTCTGGGGGGAATGTAAACAGTGCAGTATACAGTACATATTATTGGCAGTTCCTCTTATAATTCTTGCTCTGACTTTTTTTTCAAAAATTTAGACAGCTTAACATTTGTCTTAACTTCAAGCAGTTTGATTGACAGTTTGATTAACAGTTTAAATGACAGTTTGATTGACAGTTTGATTGACAGTTTAACTGACAGAATTTTGTTAGGGTATATTTGTTATTAATAAGGAAATAAATTCAATTCAATTCTAAGTAAAAAAAAGTTGTTATAAAAAAGGGCAATTTTCCTCNTAGAAGCTTGAGAGGGACTAAACAATAATATTAAGATTTTTATACTTCAGTTTTACCCAATATGGGGAAAAACAGAAATAAAAAGTGGAAATGATAATAAAATTTAAAGTCTTAAAATAAGTTTTAATAAAATATGACATTCGTATATATGTTCCCTATAGCTGACCAAACAGCTGGACCGAATATGCTGAAATTTTTTGTGGACACTCATGGGTAGCTTGGGGGTGACATAGGCTAAAAGCTAAAAAAAATCGGTTTTTTGTCAAAATTTTTTTGTTTGTTTAGTTTGTAAGTTATAAGAACCTATATGTTAAGGTTGGAACAAGCCAGGCTAGATTAATGCTTGGGTTCATGTTGACCACAATGTTCTTGTCCATGTGGATCTCAAACACTGCCACCACGGCCATGATGCTTCCCATCGTCGATGCTGTCGCAGAGGCGATCAATACAAAGGCAGAGAAGGTAAATTAAAGATCAATACAAAGGTAGAGAAGGTAAATTAAAGAACAATACAAAGGCAAAGAAGTTATTTTCAAGGTCAATACAAAGGCAGAGAAGTTAATTTAAAGAACAATACAAAGGCAAAGAAGTTATTTTCAAGGTCAATACAAAGGCAGAGAAGTTAATTTCAAGGTCAATACAAAGGCAGAGAAGTTAATTTTAAGATCAATACAAAGGCAGAGGAGTTAATTTTAAGATCAATACAAAGGCAGAGAAGAATGTTTATAATATTTTTTGGAGGATAAATCTCCAAGGAAGGAGAGTGACAAGGAATCCAGCCATACCTCCGAAGTTTAATAATAAAATATTATTTGGAGGATAAATCACCAAGGGAGGATGGGATATTTAATCTTAAAATGGCTCCGAAGTTAAATGACATAATATTATTAGGAGGATAAATCACCAAGGGAGGAGGGAGATACGAAATCTATGAATATCTCCGAAGTTTGATAATATACTATTATTAGGAGGATAAATCTCCAAGGGAGGATGGGGATAAGGAATCCAACCATGCCTCCGAAGAGGAGGATGAGTTTAATGATGATGATTATGATCTTCCTTTCAACCAGAGGTAAAACTTTCTCTTATTTTTTAAACCTTCATTGATCCCCCCAATCCACCCCTTCCTGCTCAAAACATTGAAATGTATTTTCTCGATTGCTATGTTATTGTTTAAACGCCTCCACTTTTCATTTTATGTGATAATAACATGTTTCATTGAGATTAAGAATTTCAGAAGTTTCTGCAATTTAAGATGCCTTCAATTGTCTGGATGTCTAACAAAAATCGGCCACTTGCTAAAAAGGACTTTTTAATTATCCAAAAATATTTTTTATTATAGTGATGTCATTGTTTTTGTAAATTTCCTCCTCATTATATTTTTTATGCAGAAATATCATTTATTTTAACATTTTATTTTATTTTAGAACGTTTACATCAATTAACCAGTTATCCATGAATCAACGAACTCTTCAATCTCTTCAAAACCAGGGAAAAAATCAATTTACAAAATATTTTATCTAATTTTAGTAATCTCATATAACCTTTCTTATCTTTCTTTATCAACATTTGAAATCTTTAAGACAGAAAAAAATATTCACATTCAGTTAATTTACTTGGTGTTCTGTTTGCTTTTCCTCCGTAATTTCATTTTTTACCGCATTTTCCTTCAAACTTGCTCTTCTTTTCCTCAGATGTGGTAATCATAAAAACAAAGAATTTATAAAGTACAGAAAATACTCCCCAACTAGGTGGAGGACTGAAGGACAAGTAGGAATTTCTACCAAACTTTTAAACAGGATACATTAAACATGGTAACAAAGAGAAGCTGTCAATTAACAGCTTTTCTCTTTATTTACTTGTAAATTTGTAATTTGAGAAAAACTTGTTAGAAATCAAACTTGTTAAGAATTGTCGTCCTACTTGTATTGATATAAAGCAGACCCCTGTAGATAAAAAAATCGAATAAATCAATCCATACTAGATATAATATAAATAAAAAAGTCAAAATTACTTGACATTATGGCGCTGAAATTTAAAGTTGCGATTTCACTTTATTTAATTTTTTCATGTTTGACCTTTGACCATTGATTTGGCAGATGACCGTGACCTCCATAAACTCGTTGAATCCTGCAAATGACCCTGACAGTATGGTCGCCTTTCTACCAAATGTTCGCAGAAATACAATGGAAAGAATGCCTTCCACTGAAGATCAAAGGTATTTTGCAAGTATCTTTAAAAAAATACATCATACACTATTTCTAACGAAATTCCCGGTGTCAGAAAAAATTTCTATATTTCTAGGACAAGATTTCTTTATTTCTATAACAGGGTTTCTATAATTCTAGGACACAATTTCTATAGTTCTAGGACAAGGTTTCTTTATTTCTATGACAGGGTTTCTTTATTTCTATGACAGGGTTTCTATATTTCTGGGACACAATTTCTTTATTTCTAGGACACAATTTCTATAGTTCTAGGACAAGATTTCTATATTTCTAGGACAAGGTTCCGCCGAAGAAATGACATGGAACGACAAAGAAAAAATTCAAGATTGGAAAGCATTTCTCTTCTTTCAAAGGTAAAATGGATTCTTTGAAAATAAAATTTATTCGGAAATTAAAATATTCAAAATTAGCACCCCTCTCGCTCCCCCTGCACCCCTCCAAATACTTACAAAAATAAGGAAGGGAATGTGTACTGTACCACTGTACTGTACTGTACCGCTGTACTGTACTGTATTGTACTGTACAGTACTGTACTGTATCACTGTACAGTACCACTGTACTGTACTGTACCGCTTTTGATAACATTTAAATTTTTTTTCTATGAATCAATATTTCTCTAAGTTAATAAAATTTCACAAATGAAAGCATAAACAAATCAGCTCGCTATAATTAAATCTTTAAGGGCCAAGGTGTTAAAATGAGGAGGTGACGATCTAGCATGAACAAAAGCAATTTCTAAAATTCAAATTTTGTCAAATCTATTACCAAAATGTCAATAAAAGGAAGGTTATGATTTTTAGAAATGTGTCCTTTAAGAGCTCTGAAATTCCCGTTAATTACGAAATTTATTATCAAGGTGGACATTTTCTTGAGAATAAAAATACAAAAAAAAAGTTTAAAGGAATTGAGGTTTTGTCAAAAGCTGTAATTGTCTAATCCCTATATCTAAGCAACCTGATGGTTTAATTCTTTAATAATTTAAACTTAGATTATTTGATATAGCAGAAGTAATAGTTTGAAATATCAAACATCTTAAGACTTTGGGTTGCAAAGATATAGAGTTTGAAAAATCAGAGATTACGACAAAGACCCAATTTCTTTTCAGGAAGAAATAAAGGAGTTGCAGGAAGGTCAGGAGAATGGAAGTCACGTAATTCAAGTTACTGTTAACGAGGGTACGGTACAGTGAGAACTATAACTCTGTGGAATAGGAAGTTATGATTTTAAATAGTCCAATAAGCATGAGACACAGCGATTGTACAGTGTACAAGTACAATGTACGTAGCCCAATATCACTTAATATGGGATTGTTAAGCTGCCAGTATAAAACCTTTTGCTTAGTAACAACATCAAATACACTTAAAGATTGCTGTAATATCGTCTTCATATTCCACAGTTTTCTGCGTTCCCACTGAACATTCAAAATTACTTTTTTCGATTTAGATGAAAAGGAATTATTTTTTAAATGAATCTGATTTTTAGAAAAAAATTTTAAAAGATTAAACTTTAATCTAATTAATTTTCCACTCTGAAACTTTTAAAGAATTGAATTTAATACAATTGATCATCTCTGAAAAGATATAAGTCGTAATATTCTTCGTATTAAACTTAAATCTAGAGAATTTTTCTTTTAAGCAACCTTACTTCTTTACTTGAAAGAAACAATAATTAGAAAGATTTTTATCTCTAAATTATCTCTGCATTTAGATAAAATATTTATAAATTATCAAGTATTTTCGTACATTTTAGAAGCCTTGGATTCTAAGGAAGAAACTGAACGAAACTTCTTACTGATGGGGATAGCTTACGCTGCTAATATCGGCGGTACCGGGGTTATTACAGGTAATATCAGCGGTAGTGTTTTTTTTACAGTTCATATGGTATAATAATATCAGTGGTACAGTTTTTTTACAGGTCATATCGGCGATACTACGGTTTATAAATATATCGGCAGTAAAGGGGTATAGATAATATCGGCGGTACATGTGGTTTTTACAGGTCATATCGCCGGAACAGGGGTTATTACAGGTCATATCGGCGGTCCAGGAGTTTTGACAAGTCATATCGCCGGTACAGGGATTATTACAGGTAATTTCGGTGGTACAGGTTTTTTACAGGTCATATCGTCGGCCCGGTAAAAAAAGGTTTTTAAAGGTAATTTCGGCGGTACAGATTTTTTACAGGTCATCGGCAATACTAGAGGTTGAATAATATCGGCAGTACTAGGGTTATTATAATATCGGCGGTATTAGGGGTATTATAATATCGGCGGTACTAGGGGTATTATAATATCGGCGGTACTAGGAGTATTATAATATCGGCGATAATTTGGGGAATACTAAAAAGACTGGCGGTTGCACGGCAAAAACATCAAATATAAACTTTTTTATGTTTTTTATAAGTTATCAAGGAATAAACTTATTCCTAATAAACTTTTACAACAAAAAGTGAATTGACTACGGAACCTCAAGTTGATTATCTGTTTTTATTATATCCATTATAATATCCATGGTATGTTCTTATTATATTCATTATAATATCCATGGTATGTTCTTTGTATGGAAAATTCTTGGAAGAAAATTGCTATCTATTTATTCAACTATCCATCCATCCAAAGAATTTAGTAATATTACTATTAGGACCATCTGTGTATTAAACTATCTATCTACCTATCATATATATATATTAAACTATCCATCCATCTATTTATCTATCTATCTACTATATGTCAATGGTAAATTTATAAATATTTGCCATTTCTCGGACAAAGAAATGTAAAAGGTATAGAAAATGAAGACAAGTATACAAAACTCGTTAATATCAGAACGATTTTTTAGTCACAATATGACAGAAATTAATCAACGGAAGGAAACCCCCTCATCTACTGGAGATGGGCATCCTTTTTTTTAATTTCAATACTTTCTCGAGGGTTACACAAGCCTTCAATAATTTAAAGTTTATGTTCTATCAACTTGGTTTTATGTAAGTATGTAAATTTTGAAACCACGGGAGAAGAAATATGCCGGAACTATGGCAACTATAGCAGAAGATATATGCCGGAACTATGGCAACAATGGTAGAAGATATATGCCGGAACTATGGCAACTATGGCAGAAGATATATGCCGGAACTATGGCAACTATAGCAGAAGATATATGCCGGAACTATGGCAACAATGGTAGAAGATATATGCCGGAACTATGGCAACTATGGAAGAAGATATATGCCGGAAATATGGCAACTAGGGCAGAAGAAATATGCCGGAACTATGGCAACTATAGCAGAAGATATATGCCGGAACTATGGCAACTATGGCAGAAGATATATGCCGGAACTATGGCAACTATGGTAGAAGATATATGCCGGAAATATGGCAACTAGGGCAGAAGAAATATGCCGGAACTATGGCAACTTTGGCAGAAGATATATGCCGGAACAAAGAAAAACAATCACGGGCAGCCGTAGTACATTTGAATTTCCGAGCCGGGTCAACCTTTCCGGTCCCAGTTGGACAGTATCGCCCGGACATTGGGTAAATAAAGCAGACACTCAATAGGACTAGCCGGTGCAAAAAGGTTGACGCGGTCAGACTTAAGGCTAAATTTACTTATACTAAAGGGTCAGAGGTGCGTGCAATCGTTATATTTATAACACAGATGTGTAATTGATTTAATTATTCTTATCAATTCAATTAGTTTGTACAAGGAATTGAGTCTTTGGAACAAAATCAAATATTTAAACCTCAATATCTTCAGAATAAGATGTTTCAAACTCAGATTATTTGATCTATCAGAATTCATAGTTTGAAATATCTAAGGTTTGCAACATTTGGTTCCAAAGATTATAGTGATTTGAAAATTAGATTTTGTAGCAAAGAGTCAATTCCTTTATGATTTTTATGGAAAAAATTGTTTTAATATTTTTTTAAATATGAATTTTTAGGATCCCCTCCTAATCTTGTAGTACCTGATACACTCAACCAGGGATATATCCAAATATTATTATTATTTTTTATTATTATTATTATTAATTTTTTTAAAATTATTATTATATTGTTGGTCATCATTATTGGCATTATTTGAATTTAAGTTTGGTTTATTTTCTACAGAAGTTTGGTCCGAATACAGGATTAACATTTGCATCTTGGATGGCGTTCAGTATACCGATCATGCTAATAAATACAAGTAAGTAACGTACAGTATACCCATCATGCTAATAAATACAAGTAAGTAACATTCAATATACCGATTATGCTAATAAATACAAGTAACATGCAGTATACCGATCATGCTAATTAATACAAGTAAGTAACATGCAGTATACCGATTATGCTAATAAATACAAGTAAGTAACATTCAGTATACCGATCATGCTAATAATACAAGTAAGTAACGTTTAGTATACCGATCATGTTAATAAATATATGTAAATAACGTTCAGTATACCGATCATGCTAATAAATACAAGTAAGTAACGTTCAGTATACCGATCATGCTAATAAATACAAGTAAGTAACGTTCAGTAAGCCCATTATGTTAATAAATACAAGTTAGTAACGTTCAGTATACCGATCATGCTAATAAATACAAGTAAGTAACGTTCAGTATACCGATCATGCTAATAAAAACAAGTAAGTAACGTTCAGTATACCGATCATGCTAATAATACAAGTAAGTAACGTTCAGTATACCGGTCATACTAATAAAAACAAGTAAGTAACGTTCATAATACCGATCATGCTAATAAAAACAAGTAAGTAACGTTCAGTATACCGATCATGCTAATAAATACAAGTAAGTAACGTTCAGTAAACCCATTATGTTAATAAATACAAGTTAGTTACGTTCAGTATACCGATCATGCTAATAAATACAAGTAAGTAATACGGTCAGTATACCGATCATGTTAATAAATACAAGTAAGTAACGCTCAGAATACCGATCATGCTAATAAATACAAGTAAGTAACGTTCAGTATACCGATCAAGCTAATAAATACAAGTAAGTAACGTTCAGTATACCGATCATGCTAATAAAACAAGTAAGTAACGTTCAGTATACCGATCATGCTAAAAAAATACAAGTAAAAAAAAGATCAGTATATTGATCATGCCATTATAAAATCAAGCAATTTAACGATCAAGCTAATTAAAACAAGCAATTTAACGATCAAGCTAATTAAAACAAGCAAGTAACATGCAGTATACCGATCATGCTAATAAAACAAGTAAGTAACGTTCAGTATATACCGATCATGCTAAAAAAAAATACAAGTAAAAAAACGATCAGTATATTGTTTATACCAATATAAAAACAAGCAATTTAACGATCAAGCTAATTAATACAAGTAAGTAACACGCAGTATACCGATTATGCTAATAATACAAGTAAGTAACATTCATTATGCCGATTTTGCTAATAAATACAAGTAACATGCAGTATACCGATCATGCTAATTTATACAAGTAAGTAACATGCAGTATACCGATTTAAAAAAAAAAAAAAAAAACAGATTGGAAAAAACTTTCTCTGCTTTAGCTTTAAGTTAAGAATCAATCTAGTTTTCAATAAAATATCATTTTCTAGTACTGGCTTGGTTGTGGCTTCAAAGAGTACAAAAATGGTATTTGAAGGGAAAGGATGCCGGCAGAACAAAGGTATTTTTGCATATTTATTTATTAACAAAATAAACTGAATAATATTAAATTAAACTATGACCTAACCAATTTCTAATGGTAATCTAAAAATTATTATCATTAATGTTTGAATCTTTATCTAATGTAAGGTCCAATAGTAAGCTTAGATCTTCTATAGTTTTAAACAAGCGCCAATAAAAATGATGATGATGTTTTTTTAAGAAAGCGTTGCATCTAATCTTGTAAAAAAACAATATTGCCTAAGTTTTAATGATATATTTGTTGCCTTTTTTGAACCTAATAAAAGCTTTGATTTTGAATTGTTGCAAAAATTGATAAGCTTTGATTTTTATATTGCTACTTTGTGGACCAATGAAAATCTTTAACAATTAATTGTGTTTACTTTGAGTACCAATATAAACTGTGATTTTATATTGTGTAGTGTGTACCTTGTGGACCAATAGAAATCTTTATTTTTATATTGTTTATATCGTGGACCAATAGAAATCTTTACTTTTACATTCTTTACATCGTGGACCAATAGAAATCTTTAATAGGAGCAGGAGGATCGAGCAATGGACGTTATAACGAAAAAGTACAAACAGCTTGGCAAGATGTCTCTTCATGAATTTCAGGTTAACAAAATCTTATAAAGGGATTGTAAGCGTAATTTCAAGTGACCGTCCCTGCAAAAAATGCATCGCCTGATTCACAACGATACCCTTAAAAGCAATGCATATAATTTTAAAAATTGATTATTTTCCATTGTGGCTTCTCTACTAAAATGACTTGCTCATTTCTACTGCAGGTAAACAAATTATCAGGATTTAACACGTTAAACCTAGAAAAATGATAATATCTTCCACTTTATTGATCAGACAAAGATTTAAAGGGTATCGTTGTGAATTGGGCATTGCCATCATTGCATGGAGGGTCACACCAAATTGTTCCAGTGTTTTTTAAGTCAAAATTAATGAACCTGAAAAAAATGTAGTTCTTGTTTTAGGTTTTTATTCTGTTCCTGATACTACTAATCTTATGGTTCTTCCAGAGTCCAAAATTTATGACTGGTTGGGGAGATCTTTTCAGGTAGAGTTTGATCTAGTTAAACTGCAACAAAGTTCAGTATACGAACAATAGAACATTTCAAAAAAACGTTAAACATTAACTTTAACGAATGGATTTAGGAAAAAAAACAAAGGGGAAAATCTTTTATTATTGGAGGGTAAGTGAAGTGAAGGGGGGGGGAGATAAATAAATGTTGGTTAGTGATTGTAAGTGATTAACAGGGAAAAATAAAGATTTTTAGTGAGAATCAATCATTTTCAAGGGAAAATCTCGGATTATTTTTTGGGGGGGGGGTGTCAATAGTTTTAGGAGATAATAAATATTACAAGCAAGTAACATGCAGTATACNTTGAAGAATTACTTTTAAAATTTATTTTTGAATACAGGTGATCGATCGATCGATCGATTGATTGATTGATTGATTGATTGATTGATTGATTGATTGATTGATTTTTTATTGCAGAGTGAAGACAGCTAAAGGAAGCAAGGTTTCTGTGGGAGCAGCTACACCTGCAATACTCATGGCGATATTCTTATTCATTCTTCCACAGGTAGTCATTCTTTCATTCATACGATTCTTTCATAGGTAGTCATTCATTCATCCTTACAATTCTTCCACAGGTAGTCAGTCATTCATTCTTTCATTCATACAATTCTTCCACAGGTAAGTCTTCATTTATTCATTCATAAATTTTATTCTTCCACAGTTTTTGGGTTTTAATTTAATTTTTTTTCAGTTTTAGAGCTTTGTTTAATTCATTTATCAATTTCAGCTCTTCATTATTTTCCTTTTGTTTGTGAGCTCAGATGCAGATGAATCCCAAGTAATGATTGATTAAAATATTTAGAATTATGAATTCTGGCCATTTGCTCCGATGAACCGCAGCCTCCAGAACTCCCCCAGCCTCATAACCTGGAGGCTGATAGAGACCAAGATGTGCTGGGGAGTGATCTTCCTTCTTGGCGGAGGATTCGCCCTGGCCTCCGCCTCACAGAGCTCTGGTCTCTCCGCACTGCTGGTGCATCAACTAGAGAAACTAAACCTGTCTTCTCTACCAAACTGGCTGGTAAGTACAGGATTAACCTTTAAGGACAAGACATCAGAGATGACTTTACAAATTTTATTCTGTCTTTTTTCTACAATCGTGGTTCCCTGGAAATTAATACTTTTAACATTCTTTGCCAAATCATTTAGTACACCTGTACAAGACTATATCAAAGACCGCAGAACTAATTAAAGCTGGAGTTCGACAGAATTAAGGATTATTAGGTCGTCTTTGCTCTTTACAGACATCCTTTGCGGGTAACCCTGTAGTTTATTGTACTAAAAACTTCCAAACGTTTAAAAAGTTCAAAGGATAGCTGTTTCTCGATCAGAAGTCCAGGCTTAGCTTTGTATAACTAGCTTGAGAATCCTGCGGTCCCCAGGTTACAAAAAGTTTCTCGCCGTTTACCCGCACACCGATTTTTACCGGAAAAATGAATTTTCGCGATTTAATTTAGAATCTCAAAACTAAGCTCAATTTTCATTTATACCAAGATTTCAAGTAGAATGGATACAGCTTCTCTTAAGTTACATGTAAACTTGTAATTTAAAAAAGCCTGTTATAAATCAAAACTTTAATAGAAAAGTCGTCTTCATTGTATTGATATAAACGCCTACTACTGTATGCAAATTATGCATCAACCTTTTTAGAACGGGGTCAGTTTGATTTGTCGAACCCCTTTTTATGGCCTTTTTAAGAAGTCCTAGACTTGTTACATTTTAAACTTCTACGAGCTTGTTTCTAGCTTTAGATTAAAAGGAGTAATTGGCAGAATCCTGATAGATTTTTGAGTATGAGCATGATTGTACACTTTGTAATACTGTGTGCTTGTACTGAATAATAAGAGGATATATATGATGTATACATAGTCATAATTAAAAAGGCCTGGAATTAGATGTCAGTTAATCAGGTGACCTTATATATATCTGGCAATTTTAAATGCTCAAAAAAAGCAGACCACATTTTGGAAATGGCAGGACTAAGGCTGTTTTCTTATTGTTGTTTTATCAATCATATTTGTAAAATTTGATTGTAAATTAGATTAGATTAGAACTGTACAGTGTACACAATTCATGGTTATATCACCGCAATATTAAGGTTTTAAGAAATCTTATTCAATAATTCAATATTGTCCTGCCCGCCTAATTCTATATAAAACGTGCAGGGCCAAAACCACATACTGGGTACACTAGACAGACCGGTACAAGTAAACAATACACCAGGCAATTCCTGTACTGGTTCAGATTATGCAACTTTTAAACTTGTGTGCATTTATAGCTTAATTATTTTAGACGATAACCATAATCTGCTTTCTGACGGTAACGATCACGAACGTTGCTTCTAACACCGCGACCGCCAACGTCTTGGTTCCAATATTAGCGGAGATGGCGGTAACGATGTGCATCAACCCGATCTATATGACACTACCCGCCGGTAAGTTAGATTCACTTTCAAACCCATCATTTATCGTTTATCGCTTATCGTTAATTTTTCTGTTTTCCGTTTCATGATTCATATATTTTTGCCATATATTTTAATATTGTGTCTTCTAAATGACAGAATGAAATTTTAACAACATTATTTCAACACAGCTCGGGCATACGAAGCTCTAGCTATATTACGTTTATTATTTAATGCTTTCTTTTTGGACTTTGTTTTTAATCATCAAAAGACTTGACTAAGTTTATTCCAAAGCAAATATTTGTCTGTACAGTGTACAAAGACAAAAAAAATGTGAAAGACTTACTTTTCTACGAATATACCATCTGGAGGCAGAATATATGTATTTTTTAACAATCAAAAAAAGTCGACTTTATTTCCATTTCAAGAATGTTGTTAGATTTTCTAGAGATAAAAAATCAAAACTAGATTTTTTGCATTTAATAATTTTTGTTGACTTCGTTCTGAATATTAAAGTATAAAAGATATGTTAGGCTTTTTATGGTTGCTTTATGTGTACTGTACTGCTTGCCATAAATTTAAGCTGCCTTACTTGGTACTTGAAATGAACCGGCGTTTACACTTTACAGTGATTCATCTCTAAAAAGCATTGTTTTTTACAAATATCATCAAGATGAATAAATCAGAATAAATAATTTTTTTTAGGAATCGTTTGCTCTTACGCGTTTGCGCTTCCCGTCGCCACTGCTCCCAACGCAATTGTATTTGGACACAGCACAATGAAGACAATGGATATGATGAAGGAATAATATATTCTCTAAAAATGTTATATTTTTTAACAGGGGGGAAATCCATTAAAAATAAAGAAGACAATATTTTTGAATTATCACTGAAGCTATCTCGATATAACAAAGCTCTTCGCTTATATATATGGCTGAAACTCATGTGTATGGGCGTAACAGAGGCTAAAAATCGATTTATTTGAATTCGAAATTTTGGCCCTTTCAACCATAGTTAAAGAATATATATTTACCCCTGTAGGCTGGATTCTTTATGAACCTAGTCTGCGTCTTAACCATCTCCTTCGCCATCAATACTTACGCAATTCCACTCTTTGCCCTTGACGCATTTCCAGACTGGGCCAGGTAAAACGCAGACGTGTATATTTTGAAGAATTACTTTTAAAATTTATTTTTGAATACAGGGTGTCCCACGAAACATGACACTAGCAAGACGAATTGAAAGTCGTCTTTCAACTTGTAAGTTATTGGTGACATTCAGTCTTCAACCTTCTTTTACATGTATGATTCCTGAAACAATAACCAAAAAATTCGCCTAGTCCTGCCGTTTCCAAAATGTGGTCTGCATTTTTTGTGCATTCAATATTACCGGAGATATTAAGAATTTCGTTCAGATTTAATTTTTATTGAATAAAACCTAAATTGTCCAAATCTGAAGGAAATTCATCATATCTCCGGAAATATTGAATGCACAAAAAAGGCAGACCACAATTTGGAAATTTGTGATTATTAATTCAAGAATTTTCCTCCTAAAAAAAAGTTTACGAAAAAATGCCGCAAATTATTTCAAAGTTCTATGACGACCTTCAAAATCGTCTAGCTATTGTCATGTTTCGTGGGACACCCTGTATCTGAGGGGACGGGGGGTGGGGAGGAATGAAAAATTGGACATGAAAATGCAAGTTTTTTTTCACAATTTTTTTATACTTTTCATCCAAAAATTTATTTATTTCCCCTAAAAATCATTTAATTTCCCAATAAACCCCTAAAAAATAATTTTCTAAAGGGGAGGGGGGAATGTTTTCAGGAAAATATACACCCCTGCATAATCAACATTATTCTATTTTAAATACATTTAAAGGGACAGAATGCGCAATTTCAAGTGACCCTCCATGCAAAAGATGGCAATGCCAGATTTACAACATTACCCTTGAAACCTTAATCTGATCAAAATCTGATCATATTTCTCACTTGAAAACTGTTTAATTCTAAAAATGCTCCGGTCTTTCTTAAAAGAAAGAAATGCTCTTGGCCCCTTTTTCAGAGAAATCACAAATCAAAATAAGCAGTTTTTAAGAAACAAAAACATGAAGTTCTAATTCATACTTGATCAGGCAAGGGTTTTAAGGGTAGTTTCGTAGATCGGACATTGCCTCTTCAGATGAAGGGTCTGCACTTGAAAATGAAATTACTCCTACAGTTCTTTTAATTTATACATTTGCCTTAAAATCCTATATTCTGATTGCCTTCTTGGAAACATCCTTTGCCAACCAAACTTTCTATCAAAAATATTAAAAATAAAAATCACAAAACTATTGTTACTCGAAACTTAAGCTAATTAAAAAGTTAGATACAACTAATATTAATATCTATCTATCAATATTTTGATATTTTAGTGCAAGGCTGGCAAACGCATCAATGTGTAGCAGCGGAACTGGAAATCTCACTTCTCTCTAAAAAAAAATGACAATATGTCGTCTTTTCTCTAGAAAATGTACAATATATGTCATATGATCGTTACTTGTCAAATTATATTTACATACACGGCAAAAGTCTAAAACATAAAAACTGAACAAATGAGTAATAAGAGTTTTATGTTTTTTGACATACCTTGTATATCAGTTTTATGCTTCTTAGCATGTCATTTTTGGACTTGACAACTGATCTAATGTATATCTGTAACCGTTACCAGACTTGAAAGGGAGACAATAGATACCTTAAAAAACGCCAACTTTAAAGGTGACCTTGCCACATAAAAATTGTTGTCACTCCCTTTAAAGAGATGTTTAAATCTTGCTAAATAAATAACCCCGGTTTTCTTAAACCCAACCCGGTTATCATATATATTAATATATATATATATACGATTATGTAGTTACCATTATAGATATTATTTATAATATGCTCAATATTATTCAGAAAACTACCGGTTGTTGTTGTACTCTTTAAACCCTCCAAATGTGTACAGTGTACAATTTGTACATATAAAACACCGCGTGCAATACGCAATTACAATTACTTTCAATAACTTGTACATATGTGTACACACAAGCTTTTTATGAAACAACACCTGTTATTATGTACTGAAGTTGTGAATTGTATGTATTACCGGTGATTTGATCTTAGTTAAGGATCTGTTCGAAAATGTCTGTTTTTGCATTTTTAAAATAGTTTTTCTAATTTTGATGATTTATCGTTAACATAGGTTAACATTATACCAGGTTCAATTCTCGGGTATTTTAAATGTGATTTTAATTGCAAAATTATGATTGATATTTCCCAGTTGGTGTGTGTCACGTAAAAAAAAGAATTATCTCTTATTTTCGAAATGGTTCAAAATAGGCCTACAAGATGTTGCCTATTTTTTTTACACTTTCTTTGGTAAACTTGTAAATTTTACCTTGCACCTGTAATCAATTAAAGATTTAATTCGTTTTCTCAACTTTAGTTTGATAATTAAACACTCGCACATGAATTGGTTATATTTGTCCTGTTGTTTATCAGTTAAACAATTAAAAACTTAATTGTAATATATAAAATGATAGAGTGCTTTTCACATAGCTTTCAAATTCTACACAAAAAGTATTTTCTAATATTAAAGAATATTGTGAATTGGCAGTTGGCTAACGGTGCTTTGTAACCAACTTTAAATATGTATTCAAAAGTATTAAATTGGTGCCTCCCCCTTCAACAATAAATTACATTGACCCCAAACCCCAAAACTACTACTATCTTCTCCTTTAAAGCGCCATTATTAAGAAGTTTTACAGATTAATTGAAGAGATCTCGTTTCTCGAGCTTGTGTACACAACAACCTTCAACTTAATATACAGGGTGTCCCACGAAACATGACACTAGCAAGACGAATTGAAAGTCGTCTTTTAACTGTTAAACTATTGGTGACGTTCAGTCTTCAACCTTCTTTTACATGCATGATTCCTGAAACAATTACCACAAAATTCGCCTAGTCCTGCCGTTTTCAAAATGTGGTCTGCTTTTTTTGTGCATTCAGTATTACCGGAGATATTAAGAATTTCGTTCAGATTTAATTTTTATTAAATAAAACCAAAATTGTCCAAATCTGAAGGAAATTCATCATATCTCCGGAAAAATTGAAAGCACAAAAAAGGCAGACCACAATTTAGAAATGCAAAGACAAGGGGTATTTTGTGATTATTAATTCTAGAATTACGGCATTTACGAAAAAATGCCGTAAATTATTTCAAAGTTCTAAGACGACCTTCAAAATCGTCTAGCTATTGTCATGTTTCGTGGGACACCCTGTATCTGAAAGGGCTAAGTTCAGATAAGGTGTTTTGTACAGTGTTGCCCACTAAGGATGAGACTTCTTGGAGTCTCGACCATCCTGGGTTACACTGTGTGTAAACCTGACCTTAAGTTCATTGTCTCTCAGATATTATATAAAGGTTGAATTGTAGAGAAGTATTTCTGTTAGATCTATAAATAAAACAGGAAGTACAGGGTTTCCCTCGAAAAATGACAGTAGCAAGACGATTTGACAGTCGTCTTTGCTACTCTGTCATGTCTCGTGGGACATCCTGTATTATCTTAAATGTAAATTACTGATGTGATAGATTAATGATGATGAATGTTTCCTGTTATTATACAGAAATAAAGCATATAAAAGCTTCAATCAAATTTTTTTCAAAGTAATTTTTTGAAAGTTTTTTGGTTTTTATTTGATGTCTTTTTACGTATTTTTTCGTTTTTTCTTTACCTAGAAATTGTATTTTTTATCCGAGTTTAAAAGTTATGCAACATAAAATACGCATACTTTTGTGAATCCCATCCAAGTAATTTTTCTAATTTTTTAAGGTTTTTATTCTACGTATTTTTCTGATTTTTTCAGTTTTTTCTTTGCTTAAAAGTTGTATTTTTTAAGAGTTTAAAAGTTTGATGCAAACATAAAAATACGCATACTTTCGCAAATTTCACACCAAGTAATTTTTCTAACTTAAGTTTTTATTTCACATATTTTTCGGATTTGTCTTTACTATTGTATTTTTTTAGAGTTTATAAGTTTGATGCAAACTAAAAATACGCATTTTTTCGTAAATTTCATGCTAACTAATTTTGTATGTGTAAATATATTCAAGAAACCTCAACTGCACAAAAATGCATTTTTAAGTCAGAGTTTAAAAATATGTTATGATTTTTCAAGAGAATTGTTATGTAAGAAAATTAATGCAAACACTTTAGTGAACATAATGTTTCAAAACTTCTATCATTTTGGAGCAAATAAATGTTTTCATTAGAAATGTCAGTATATTTTTTTTGACAAATAGAAGTTCTACTTGGACAGTCTTGTATCAGGCGTAATGGTAAGTGTATGAAGTATAACAGATATTGAATACGTAATTGTGGAAGATACAGACAAATGCATGTATTAATGTTGATTTAGATGGATACAGAAGAAGGAATGATGATGATGTGAATTTGTGAAGAAGAATATCGGATTAGATTGGATTGAAAATAGTATTGATATCTATTTATATGCATTTAAGAAATTTGTGGAATTAGTTGTTAAGGGCGGTTTAAACTGCACCCTGCGACCGACGGGTTTCCCGACGCTCTAGCACCCTCGTACGTAAAGCGATCAGACAGCGCATTTTCTCAATTGTATTCAATTTTGGTGCAGATCCGAGAACTTTGTACAGATATTAAGGAAGAATGTGTAGGCAAAATTATAATCAACTTCTCAACATTTTGGTTTTAGAACTCACTTGAATATTCCTTGAAAATGCGTACTTTTACGCATAGGTATATAAATTCCAAAAATTAAGAAATGTTAGGATTGTATGAACTAAATCTCGTGTGGGAAAACCCTAAAAGTTCCTGAATTATTGGATTTATTACGGGTTTTTAGGATTTTTATGGGAAATACGTGTTTTTGCGTATTCCAAACCTAAAAATACGTATATACGAATGTCATACATATTTATAGGTTTTCCGGTTAATAGGGAACCTTCGTACAAATATGGCCTGCACTATTTTTAGTTACAAATTAAAGCAGTGGCGTACGAGGGGGAGCCGAGCCCCCCTGGCCCCCCCCCCCTACGCTTGCCCCTCTCTGAGGGGTGGTTCTTTTAATATTACATCTTCCTCAGGCAATCTACATTCTACATTGCATTGCATTTTATTTGCTTTGACTAAAAGATTAAGAAAAGAAGTAAAATATATTCTGATTCACAACAATACCCTTCAAATTTGCTTTGTCTGATCAAGTATTGCATTAAATATCCATGTTTCCCATTTTGAAAACTGAATATTTTTATTTGTGGTTTCTCAACAAAAGTGACTCGCGCATTTCTTGCTTCTGAAACGATGGAGAAATGAAGGTTTCAGATGTACATCGGACATGCCACTCTATAAATGGAGGGTTACTTGAATTCGCGCATGTATTCCATTTAAGTATATAATTACATCGTATAGAAGACAATACTTTAAAATCTCACTTTTGCCGTCAACTAAAAAAGTTTCATTAAAAAAGCATAATCAATACTGCCTTCAGTGTAAATAAATAATTTGACATCATAATTTATTATAAAATATGTATCAATCCTATGAAAATATAGATATTTTTTAGAAACGTTTCCATCTATATTTGATGCTATCTCATTTGAACTACTCCCGTTTTCATTTGAGCTATTGTTCATTTCAACTACTGCACGTGGTACCTGCACGTGAGTAGTTGAAATGAACAATAGTTCAAACGAGTAAATATATTGCTCATTTGAACTATTTTTTATTTCATTTGAACTTTTTTCATTTGAAATATTAATATTTTAAATGAAATAAACAAAAAAATAGTTCAAATGAACATTAAAATAGTTCAAATGGACAAAAAACAGTTCAAATGAACAAAAAAATAGTTCAAATGTATATCAAAGACGACTTTCAAGTCGTCTTGCTATTGTCATGTTTCGTGGGACACCCTGTATTTTTTTTCATTTGAACTATAATTTCATTTGAACTATTTTCATGTTCATATGAACTATTTTTATGTTCATTTGAACTTTTTTTTTCATTTGAATTATAATTTCATTTGAACTATTTTCATGTTCATATGAACTATTTTTATGTTCATTTGAACTATTTTTTTTCATTTGAACTATTTTTAAGTTCATTTGAACTATTCTTTTTTTCATTTGAACTATTTTTATGTTCATTTGAACTATTTTTATGTTCATATGAACTATTTTTTTGTTAATTTAAACTATTTTTATGTTGAAACATTTCTGCGGTTATCTAATTATTGTCATGAACATAACTTTGAAAAATAGTTCAAATGAGCAAGAAATGTGTTGATTTAAACTATAGATATGACGTCATGTGATCAGTAGTTCAAATGAACAATAGTTCAAAAGAACAATAGTTCAAACGTACCATAGTTCAAACGGCAGTAGTTCAAATGAGAATCCACCGGGAAAATGTGCGGGGGGCTATAACCATCTACATATTAATGCTCTCGTACGTGCCCAAGGTTCGATCAATAATTAGTGCAAATGATATTTCACCAGGATGATTTGACTGTAATGACAACAAGAAACTCGTTATATTTTACATTATAAATGTATTTATTTTTACGGTAAGGGCGTACTCTGATCGTCTAATGAGTCTCATGCTATGTGGATAACACTGTATTCAATTTATTGCAAAATCCAAACCAAATAATTTTGTCAACAAGCAGACTGCAGAGAGGGGAGAGAGAGTGAACAACACAACAGAACAAACAGCTGTTTGTGAATCATTGAAAACATTAAAACAGAGATTTAAAAAACTAAATTAAAAATGGAAATGTTTAATAAACTGAAATCTACCCTCTCTACTTCAGTAACAAATACAATACAAAATACAGTTTATAATACTGGAAACATCATTTCAGGGGTTATTCCAGGTAAACTGTATTGTTTCTCTAATATAAATATATTGTGAACCCCTTCGGTCTCCTCGGAGGGCCCATTAAACTCAAAATATTATGGTCATCCATTTAAAGGTGTTGTACACTGGGGGGATTTGTGCGTTGAGGCCCCCCTCTCTTGATAAAAAAATCGTACTTTAGGACGGACCCATAGATAGATTCAATATTTGATAATATTTTTTACCCAATAACAGTTTGGAAGAAAGTAATTGGTTTTAAAATTTCAGTAAGGTCTCAATCCACCAACAGTCGCTGTAACTACCCTCTTAGTACCTTAGTTTTATCTTATCTCAGTGGGCTTATCCCATTACCCCTTTTTTAAAGGCCCCTGTATAGAATTGATCCTTATTTGTTCAGCCAACGAGTTAGGTTTTAATTTCGCTCCAATTATGAGAATTAAATTTAAACTTTTTGTTTTGTCTAGGAAACCCTGTTACTCGAGAATATGAAATAACATCTCATGTCGGTAGTGCTGGACCAGGTAATCAACTTTTTGTTATAACACATTTCTCCACATTTAAATCAAATATGAAATAATCAGAAAACTGTAGAGTAGAGACGTCATAAAAGCAATACTGAAGTGAATTTGATGTTGTTACTAAGCAAATAGCTTAATTAGTAAGCTATTAAATGACTTGTTATGTCAAATTGGTCTGTTTACACTGCACAATTCGACTAGTTAATATCATTACTTGAGCCTAAAAGTCGATTTCCTGTTTCAGAGTTTACGGGTTATCACTGTATGAAAATATGATTCTATTTAAGATAAGATCTTTAATTTAAAGACAGTCTTTCATATTATCTTGGCTACAGCTTGTAAACAGTGTGTAAATGTACATCTCTATAGGTTTACTCTGAAAGTGTACAGCATTTAAAATGTAAATATCTACAGGTTTACTCTGGAAGGTGTACAGCATGTTAAATGTACTTATCTTTAGGATTACTCTGGAAAGTGTACAGCGTGTACAATGTACATATCTTTAGGATTACTCTGGAAAGTGTACAGCGTGTACAATGTACATATCTATAGGTTTACTGTGTAAAGTATACAGCGTGTACAATGTACATATCTATAGGATTACTCTGGAAAGTGTACAGCGTGTACAATGTACATATCTTTAGGATTACTGTGGACAGTTTACAGCGTGTACAATGTACATATATCTTTAGGATTACTATGGAAAGTGTACAGCGCTATTAAAAAATCCACGAGACAACCTGCCTCAGTATTCGTTCTTGAAAGGGCGCAGCTAGACAAATTCGACAGGTAAACAATTGAGGGTTTGTATTGTGCTTTTTTACTATGTTAAACATTAAACAATTTTTAAAATCCCACAAACAATGTCGGATACTTAAGTTAATTAAATGTAATTAAAAAATCATCTTTAAAAATGTTAGACAAGACCGGGAGGTGATTTGGGATTTGTGTAAGAAGGGGGTATCACAACTAACTAGACTTAGGTAAGGAAAAATGTTAAAACTTAAACTCTTTTCTTTCTAAGTATTTCACCTTTAAGTTAAGCCCCCCTGGACAAATTCCTGAATACGCCCCTGAAACAGCTTCTCCTTTTTTTATGCGCAACGCGCGCTTCCTTAGTTTGTTCATCCTAATAAATTCGATCCCTCGTATTTCCCCTCAGTTTGGAATTTTTCTTGATAAACATCAAAAATGAAAACCCCTTAACAGTTGTTATTAGAATTTACTAATTTTATCTTGTAATATATTGGCAAATATGCCCCGGTTTCTCAAATTCTTTGTTTCTAAGTTTTTTTTTTGTAGATTTCGACAGATGCAACAAAAGAAGATTTTGTGAAATATATTCTCCCTGCCCTCAAACCTGTCATGAAAATCATGGATCCGGTAAAAACAAAAATAGAATTAAGTTTATCATCATTCATCATTTTATTCAGACATTTATTCAGTTATTTTTATATTTTCTTTCTTCATTTATTTAATTTGTTTTTTTATTTTTATATTCTTTAATTATCATTTATTGTTTAATATTTTCATTCATTTATTTATTTATCGAATTATGTTTAAATCTAAATTACTTAAATATTTATCAACTTATTCATTTATTGATTTATACCTTATTCACTTTTCATTTTTGATTTGATTATTCTACATAATATTTAACAATTTATTAAACCACTTTTTTATTTCGTTACTTATTTATTTGTTAAAAATAAATTCATTCTTATTTTCAGATTCAGATTTTGTTGATTTTCATGCAGAATATGGAACTCATTCTAGAAAAGGAAAAATACAGTTCACTTTTAATATATAAATAATATCTATATCAGTTGAAACGCAACAATCTTCTTATACATTTTATTCATAAACAAATTGTTTCATGCTTTTATGCAATCATCAGTATGAATGATTTGAGAATTTTTCACAGATGTTTCGCGGATTTTACGAGATGTTAAATTAATTTTCAAATTAATATTACATATAGATACGAAACATCTGTGAAAAATTATCAAATCATTTATACTGATGATTGCATAAAAGCATGAAACAATTTGTTTATGAATAAAATGTATAAGAAGATTGTTGCGTTTCAACTGATATAAACATCCTCTACTTGGATCTCATCAGGTATAGAGCACTCTTGAGAAACTTGGAACTCAACAATAAATAATAAATATATATATATTTAATCACAGGGGTGCACATTCTTACAGGGTTATCCACAAAAAATAAGACAAAGATTTGTAATTTATTATTTCAAAAATGTTTCCCGTCGCATTGAGGTGCGCATTATTAAATTATTATTAAATAAACACCTGGGGTAAATAATCTCTGCCACCCCTTTAAATTAACCAAGTTGCGCCGCTGTTTACTGAATCTTGATCACTGCTAAGCTAAGCGAATTCTGTAAAAATCTTTTTTAAAATATTGTAATTTCAAAATATTGAGATATAGCCAATCATGACTTCTACGGAACGATGGTTGATCATTTTATTGATTCATTTATTTATTTACGAGGCGAAATTAATCCCAGTAAACAGTACGAATATAGGGTAGGGGCGGATACAGGATTTAAGTGAGGGGGGTGTTAGATTTATTTCGGAACAAAAACTTCCAGACTTAGGAACAAATTTTTTTTTAAGATAGATATTTTTCCTGTTTTGCACTAGGAGGAGCTATTCTGAAATCTCATGGGGTGGGCGTGCCCCCCCCCCCTCATGAATCCGACCGGGGGATGCGAATGTCCTGCCGCCCCCCCCCCCTGTATCCGCCCCTGAGATAGGGTCGGACTAGTACGAATTTATATTTCATAACTAATGAAACTTTGAGATGTGAGTGATCTGTATTGTCCTTGGTCTAGACTCCGACTGAAGATGTTAAATCAGATGTTCTTCCCATGCTCTACCGAGCTCTAGGTAGGTATAGAGCAGCGACTAGGGTCCGGATTCATTGGATCCCTGGATCCGGTTCCATCGGATTAATTGGAGCCGGAGCCATCGGATCCCTGGATCCCGATCCATCGATTCCCTGAATCCTAAGCCATCGGATCCCTGAATCCGGGTCCATTAGATTAATAGGATCCGGATCCTATGGATTAATTGGATCCGTGTCCAATGGATTAATTGGAGCCGGAGCCATCAGATCCCTGGATCCCGATTCATCAAAACCTGAATCCAAATACATCGAATCCCTGAATCCGGATCCATTAGATTAATTGGATCCGGATCCAACGGATTAATTGGATCCGGATCTATCAAATCCCTGGATCCAGATCGATCGAATCCCTGGATCCATAGCCATTGAATCTCTGAATCCAGATCAATTGGATTTCTGGATCCGGAGACGCAAAATATGCAAATCAATGGATCCAGATCCAAGTGGCAAAATATAAACTAAAAAATTGAAAAAATCTACATCGTAAAGGAACTGATATCTTATAATTTTGAAGAAATCACTTTCCGTTCATAGGTTGGTCTGCCAGACTTACAATGGTATCTGTAAAAGCTTTGTCTGATTAAGAAAGCATGTGATATCAATAATCTTCTCCTTAAAAGTTGATTTTCTGATGGATTGATTGACTGATTGATAGATAAATTGATTGGCGTATTGATAGATTGACTGATCCTATGGTTGGTTGGATATTTGATCGATTGATTGATTGATTGATTAATTGATTAATTGATATATTGATTGATTGGTTGGTTGATTGATAGATTGATTGATTTGATTGATTGATTTATTAGAATGTGATGTAAGCCAGATCCAGGAGTTGTGTTTATCTATTCTCCCGGAGTTTGCCGGTAAGATTTCTAGCAATTCATTTCTAGCAATTCATTTCCAGCAATTCATTTCCAGCAATTCATTTCTAGCAATTCATTTCTAGCAATTCCTAGCAGTTGCCATCAATTTAAATAAATATGTGTCTAAAATAAATTTTGATATTTTGTATTTCAATCTCATGCTTACAGCGGAAGAAAAAGGTAATGAAACTGAACTATACTAAACTAAACTAAAGAACTTTTAGTACTATGTCCGAATTTAATGAATTTAAGCGGCGTCTAAAATCCCCCGAAAACCTTTTTCAATTGGGGGCCGGCTTAAATGTTGAAAAATTTAATACAAATTTAAGTGAACCAATAAAGATTGAGCCGCGGCTTAAATTTAAACCGCGGCTCAAATCCTTTAAATTCGGCCTCTGGATTTTTTAACTCCCCCCCCCCCCCAAAAAAATATATTATTTAATTCTATTCTTTTCTAAGTTCCAAGCTTAAAAAAATCATTTTCTTCAAATTCTTTTTCATTTTTATTTTCAAATTACAATTTTTTTTTCAGGTTTCGGAAGGTTTAACGTTTCTCCATGGTAGTGGTAGAATGCTCCATAGAAACCTGAGCCCTGAGGCTATTCTGATAAACACCCAGGGAGCATGGAAAATATCAGGATTCGAATACTGTCTCAGTAAGTTAAATAATTGTTTCTATATATACTTTACTTTTTTTTGTTTATTTCTAACAGATACGCGTCAAAACGGCCGAACCAATTGGGCACACATTTTTTTGCGGGACATGATTCCAGGGAAGGTTTATGGATGGTTAATATTGAAAAAACTCGCTTGAAAAAATTTAGATTTTTCAAAATCCAGGAAAAAAAATCGAAAAAAGAGCAATACGGAAAAGTTAAAATTGAAGATGAGTGCGAAGCGACCTGGCAGCCTAGAATTTATGTAATTGGATTTTAAGCTTACTTCTAATTAACCCTTAAATTATTTATAATAGGAGCTTCACTAAGGAAAGATTGCGAAGATATCCTCAATCCTTATTTTGCTATAAAAGTTGCGATCCAAAGTTCTAGATTTATTTACGATTGAAAATCTAAGATTTTTATGTATACTTTTGTGAATCGCTCATGGCACTGTAAATAAAGAATCATTTTGAATTTCAATCAACTTTAAATAATGCTTAAATAACAAAGTTATGTTTGTTTTATTTTATTTACATTTTTTTAGATTTAAATTTTGAAACAGCTCTTAGCAAATAATAAAGATTTTTTTATCATAAATTACTATTGCAGGTAGTGTTCCCGGTGGGCAAGGTGTCCCGAGCTGGGATGCACCAGAATTCGACCACGCCCTACCTGACTTGGCGTATCCCCACTTGGACTACTCCGCCCCAGAATTCGCCTTGCTAGGCACTGTCAGTCCTGCGGCGGATATGTTTTCATTTGGTATGCTAGCATTTTGGTGAGTTTTTAGTTAATAATGTAGATGTTTGTATAAAAACACTGAAGTTTAACGCTTTTCACTTATTTATCGATTTCTTATTCGATAATAATGATTATGAACATTGAAATAATTGTTTTTATCATTTTGTCGGATTTTTAAACTGTTTTTGTGCTTGTTTTACAGTTTTTTTTTGCTTTTTGAACTATTTCTAAAAAAGAAAATTTAAGAACGATTTCTTTGGATCATACTAATTATTTCAGCGTTCATACAAGACGTTCCCTTTACCACTGTGAACGGAACTGGGGCGCATATAAAAGGAACGTTACTGATCTGAAAAGTGTTCCTGCAGACAGGTTAACCAGCGTTCCAAGTGATTTGGTGGAATATATTAAGGTAAATTAAACATTGCTAGTATTTTTTAAAATAATTTTGTTCCAAATTTTTTTTTTGATTTAGTTGTTGTTGAGTAAAACGCCAGAATTGCGACCAACACCGGAGGAAATCCAACAACTAGAATACTTCCAGGTAATCTTAAAGAAATCCAACATATTGAATACTTCCAGGTAATCTTAAAGAAATCCAACAACTAGAATACTTCCAGGTAATCTTAAGGAAATCCAACATATTGAATACTTCAAGGTAATCTTGAGGAAATCCAACAACTTGAATACTTCCAGGTAAACTTGAGGAAATCCAACATATTGAATACTTCTAGGTAATCTTAAGGAAATCCCAACATATTGAATAATTTCAGGTAATCTTGAGGAAATCCAACATATTGAATACTTCCAAACCCCGCGATTTAAAAACTTCGGCTCGAGTCGTAATTCCTTAAACCCGACTTTAAGACCCAATCTTCGACCCAACTCTGACGACAGCTTGTGTCACGTGATTGACAGCTGCAAGATCTTCGGCTCGACTTAAGGAGTTAGGTCCAATGAAAATATTATAAACAGGTTTTTTGAACTCAACTTTGTGGAAAATAAGATGCAGCTTGAATCCGAAAGCTCAAGCCGTAAATAAGGCCCAACGACAGCTTAGACTCTAGTCGTATTTTCCCGAATTTTTTAAATCGCGAGCTCAGGTAATCTTGAGGAAATCCAACATGTTGAATATTTCCAGGTAATCTTGAGGAACTCCAACATTATTCATTCCAGGTAATCTTGAGGAAATCCAACATATTGAATATTTCCAGGTAATCTTATTTCCTCAACTAGAATACTTTCCAGGTAATCTTGAGGAAATTAAAAAGTTGCAGATAATTAGTTTTTTAAATTCATTGAATATTTTTTTTTTCAAAGATTTATTGTAAACTTTTTTTTAGGACGTTGGTGTGAAAACTCTTCAGCTTTTGGATTCCCAGTTTCAGTGGGATAATCTACAGAAATCACAGTTTTATAAGGTTTACTTTATAGAATATCTGGCTCACATATTCATCATTGCTTTAACTGCAAACAATATTTTTTAGAATTTTAAGGGGTTAATATGATCTGTTTAAACAGTGGTAACCAGAAAGCAGTGGAATAATTGTCAAATTTGAAACTAATTTATCTGAAAAGATGATTTCCGAAGTCAAACATTAGTGCGGTGACTCCCAGAATCAAGCAGCTGTCACTGTAGATATCCAGATCAAGCAGCTGTCACAGTAGATATTTAGATCAAGCAGCTGTCACAGTAGATATTTAGATCAAGCAGCTGTCACTGTAGATATCCAGATCAAGCAGCTGTCACTGTAGATATCCAGATCAAGCGTTATAGATTAACGCCATTTTAAACCAAAGGTTTTGAGCTTTGGACATTTTCAGAGCTTCAAATTACAATATGTTATTAAGGAGATGACTATGGTTCCACATGTTTTGGTTATCACTGTAACAGGGATAGTTCTTTTGAAAAAATAATTTTCAACAATTTGGGGTAAAAATTTTTTTTTTTAAAATTCTTTCACAAATCATATATTTTAGCCATTTTAGCGAAAAAAAAACAACTTTAAAACAGATCTAACCTACTAGACTAAAGGGAAAACTAATGATTTTTTATCAATAATATAAACCCGGCCCTACATGCACTTCAATCCGTATTGTAGGGTTTCCAACGCAGGTGGATATTACTCGCTCGCAATTCCGATCGGAAACCCTAACTTTATTCTGTATTGTAGGGTCTACCAGGAGTACTCCCCCAGCTCCCCCACCGTGTTGCTCTACATCGAGTCTACCCCTGTCTAGCCAAGGAACTACGCAAACTCTTTAATTTTATTTTTATTCAGTTTAACCTAGAACATCGAAAGAGGAAAAATATGCAGTCTAAAAGCTTAATTTAAATCAATATTTAGATCAAAACTCGTCTTAATTGTATTGATTGAATCGCCTACCACCGTAGTAAAACTATCTGCATTGTAACAATATCAAATATACTTATGTATTGCTATAATGTCGTCTTTCTATTCCGCAGTTTTTTGGTTCTCACTGTAAACTAAAGTTTGACTGTTTACCATGTGTCAGGAGTTTGTAAACAATTCTATGGTTCCCTTTGTACTTCCTACAGCTATTCAGGTAACGGAGTCATAAAAACTCACAATATTTTCTTTTTTTATGGGTTGTTGTTTTTTTCTAAATTAGTCATCCATTGAAAAAGATATTAATTTATCTTGCAATTTTTTTGCGTGGGTCGATAACGTTTTTTTGAAGATAACAAAAATGAAGTGATTTTTGGGAGAAGTAAATGGAGTTTAAATGAAAAACTATCAAAAAACTAAATCTGAATAAGTTTTTTGTTGAGCAACCACGATATAGGGGTAGCATTGAAGCAATTGCCCCCCCACAAAGCTTAGAAAATGCCATTATTAGAGATACAATAGCCTGTAAAGACTATAGATAAAACACGAAAATCTTTAGTTTTCACAAAACCTCTTAAAACCAACTAAATAGAACTACTCCCGTGCACCGTGCAAGCTGGAGGATGAGTACAAACAGCTCAGGGGCGTATTTAGGGGGGGGGGCTATGGGGACTAAGCCCCCTTTAATTATTTTGGAAGAAACTATTTATCCCTGTGTATGTATTTCAGGCCTGCTGGACCGTCAAGCGTTAAAAACAGCTTTTCTACCGAGAATTAAAAAAGTAAAGTTTAAAAGTTATATTTTAATGAAATAAATTATAAAAGCACTTTCTTTTAAATAAAAGAAAGTAAGGCGAGAATTTGTTATCCAAATTCTATTCATTTATTCAAATTCACATTTTTTTCTTTCAATTTTTTAAAAATTCGTTTTTTTTATATCCACGTTCAATGCCGGGCACTTGAGCTAGTTTTATGATATTGTAGGTTTGTATATCTACCCGGCTACTCAGTGTTCGGGTCAACTCATTGATCTGTCTGGGTAAACTTCTTGAGTACCTGGACAAGTGGCAGGTGAGGCTGCTGGGTGTATATTTTTACAAACTGAAAAATTGGAAATCAAAAGTCAGGTTACTTTATCTTTTTACCCAACATTTTATTTTTCGCTCTAAAAATCATATGATTTCCCCAATTAAAGGAAAAAGACACTTTTTTATCTGACCTTACCATACCTAACTTCTGGGGGAAAATATTATTTTTAATACGGGGTGGGTAAAGATATTTCAAGAAAATATACACCCCTGTAAAGCGCACTGTACTAGGACCGTAACTGTATCCCCCGACATGTTCAACCCTCCGTTTGCCTTGGTTATTAGTTACTACAATATATTTTATATTGCAATAGAACAATAAACAACAAAGAAATAGTTAGTTTTTACCTGTTAGTTTTTACCTGTCCTTAGAAAGTTCATGATTTTTAAATTATTTTTTTTAATAATTTTAAAGGACAGATAAAAAATTCCATCTGTTCCTTCTAATTTCCAAAATTCGGAATGATTTATCAAGATTTTGTGTTTTTAGGTCATTGATGAAGTAATTCCTATGTTTTCACAAATTCCTTCCAGGGTAAGAAAAAAACTAGTTTTAGCAAGAAAATTTTCATTTAAAGGGTCTTTAAAAAATTTCAAAGGAGGTTTTTCTTTTAATGTGACTTGTGCTTTTTTGCTGCAGGAAAACAATGGAAGAGAATTTCAGAATTAAATACTTTTCCAGCCAGAAAAGCGATGTAAACTTCCACAATCACGATATTGATCAGATCTAAGTTGTGAATCGGACATGCCCCTTTTTTAAATTATTCCATACTCCTTGGATTTGCCTCAAACTTTGATTGGGGAACCCGGGAGAACCACGGGAATGTTCCTAGCTTGAGATTTTATGTTGAGTGGGTCCACTTTTACAGGGAAAAATAGCTCAGTGTTCCTTAAGTGCAAAAAAGTTTATTTTGGTATTGCGGAGGAAATTCAACTTGTTCCTGGTTCTCATGCATGAGGGTGATTTACCGACAAAAGGTCAAACGACACAGGGTCAAACGACAAAGGGTCAAACGACAAAAGGTCAAAATGATAAAAATATTTTTTGATATGAATCATAGGAAACTCGCAACCCTCCTATCAATTTTGTACATGGATCTTATATGTTAGACATGGATATAATTGAACATGTGGCCGCAGCGCTCGGCCCCCTAGCCTGTCCTAGCCGCAGCGCTCGGCCCAGAAAGTGTCTTAACTAACCTAACCCGTGGCCGCAGCACTTGGCCCCCTAGCCTGTCCTAACCGCAGCGCTCGGAACAGAGAGTGTCTTAACCTAACCTAACCCTAAATAATAATAAATAAATACTAAATGTAACAGATGTCAAAATTTCAAAAAAAACTTGCCCCTTTGTCGCATTTTTTGACCCTTTGTCGTTTTACCCTTTGTCGCGCTTTTGACCCTTTGTCGTTTGACCCAGTGTCGTTTGACCCTTTGTCGTTTGACCCTGTGTCGTTTGACCCTTTGTCGGTGAACCATGAGGGTGATTGGAAACAAGTTTCCGTCAAATCATATCACTCCGTCCTGGTGAGATATTGAGGTTTTTTCTAAGAAATACCCTGTACAACTGGAGACACCTTTTAAATGCTTGGTAACTTTTTTCTGTTAAAGGTTTTCCATTAATTTCTTTTCCCATACCTTTCTGCATGTATTACCTTTACAATATAAATTTTCTCAAGGCTGTACATTCAAGAACGTTTAGCTACCCATTTTACATGAACAAGTTGAATTAGCTCCGCAAACCCAAAATAAACTTTTTTGCTCTTAAGGAACACAGTGAGCTAAAATCGTAATTAAAACCAAGCGCGGGTAAACGGCGGGAGTAAATATGAGTACCCTGGGCAACGCACGGTTCTCAAGCTAGAATATAGATTGTAGTTAATTTTACCTAAATTATTTACTGTATAATCTTGAAGGAGCCTGCTGTTATAATGGGTATGATTGGAATTTACAAGATCTCGCTAAACAGCTCAAAACTGGGGTTCAGCAAGGAGGTTCTGGCAAGCAAGGTAGAGTTTAGAAAGAGTTTATTTTTATCAAGTTTTGTCTTTTGTGATAGTAATATAGGGTTACCCTCTCGAATTGTGCGTCTTTAGAGACAACTGCAAAGAATTTTTTCAATCTTTTTGTTTTAATTCATGGTTCCTTGGGACCGTAAACTAGTCAATCCATCTAAAGACTATAACTAAGGCAGAATCTCAAGTTCAAACCTCAAATCGTTATATTTAAGGAACTTTAGGTCGTCAATAAGTTCTTATCCTTTGTAGGTAACCCTGTCGAGAGATAAATTATTGATTTGTTATCTCTGCAGTTTGTGCATTAAAGAATGCTTTTATTTAAATCTGTGTTTATATTTTATGCTTTAATATTGTTTATTGTTGAAAATTTGAAAAGTTGGACGAAAGCGGTCTTATGGCAGAGGCAAAACCCCTTTGTTTAGAAGGGATCGGTATGACGTCCCCAGGCTAGAATAGGGAGCTGTGGAACGATTTAATTTGATTTTAAATTAAAAAGTGAGAAAATATCTGTGAGAAATATGAAAATATATTATTCTTTTTCAGGTTTTACCCTTTTTAATTCCGTTGAGTGTAGAAAACGGTCTAACTGTAAAACAATATGATTCTATCTGCGAACTCATTAAAGATATTTACAACTCTACAGTACAACTCTACAGTACAACTCTACAGTACAATGTATTATTGTACTTTAAATTATTAAAGGGTTGAAAGTGAGCATAGAAATAAATTACAGCAGCTCAATTCTCTTGAAGAAGATCACAAAAAATCATTCCAGGTATTTATAAAATGTTCTTATTTTTAAAGGACTGCATTCTTACAATAATTGTACATAACCGTACAATTCCTTTCAAACCTGTTTCTCATAAGATACAGAGGGCAAAACTTAAAAGAAATTTACCGGGTATCCCAAACCAAACCTGGCCACGAAACCAGGTTAGCTCTCTTAAGTCTGGGTTTGAGTTTCGTAAGGGTTTCGGGAAACTCCGGAAACTTTTCAAGTGCGTAGCAGCTTTATTCATAAAACACCACAGCTGGAGACTCCAACGACAGCATATTTTAACCCAGTTTCCTAGAGTTTCAAAATACGTTTTAAGAACATGAAACCCGAACTCTGCCAAACCCGGGTTTCAGGAAACCGGGTATCGTAGCGAGTTTTATAATTTTCTTAAGTTTTGCACTCAGAGGGTAACGTCACTTTTTTTTGGATAGTGATTACAGTTCTCTGAAGGTTGCAAGCCTTCACGCAAAAATTAATTCGAATTTGAATAATTACTTTTCAATAGCTGAAGCTAAAAACAAGTGCTTTTAATTTCTAGGGCTACACAAAAGTGTAAGTGAGTTAATGCTGTAAACTTCAACGCCAACCCAGTCCTGATTATAGCGTGAATTAAAAATTTAGGTTGAATTCCGTGGACATTCGAATAAATAACCAATTTAACCATTAAGATAATAAACAAAAGATTCAAAAAATGAGGATAGACGCAAAACAGTTTTGACCTTGCAGGTTGGATTGCCGGCCGGTCAACTAGTCTCAGCTCCGACTCTCTCTCAGACTTCAGAAATGGATTCTATGTTCTCCGGGCTCGGGCTTGGGTCCTACCTATCCAAGGTCACACCAGGAGTAAATATTTTTAAGAATACTAATGTTTTTCTTTTTTTTGGGGGGGGGGGCGCGAAATTTCCCTTCATTATGATATTTATTTCTCAAAAGTTAAAATTCAAAGATCAAAAGCCTCAAAAATTTAAAACTAATGCCTATGGACCAGGGGGGTCTAGAATTATTTCGACGATGGGTTAGGATAATTTTTATTTACAGTTTACTTTTGCTTTTGCGGGAATATATTTATAAAAAATAATAAAATTTCTGGGCATTTCGAAAAGTTACCTCTAAGTTGTTAAGCCGTTTAAAACTTTTTTCATAATTTTCTTTCCGACAGTTTCCGTTTTTATACCGAATATTTTTTCATTTCTCTGTTTTATTTCTAATATGGCACTTCATTCCTCAACTAGTAAATTCATGTCGAGTTTGGGGGGTGGAAAGTAGGACTCCCTAACAGCATGATTTGATTAAAAATAATGATTTATTTTATTAGGAAAGCTGTAGTCTAGATGATACCCTGAATAAAAATAGATCCAGTGTTAGCCCTATACCTAAAGTACTTGGAGTACAAACAAATCAATCCCAGGCCTTATCCCTCCAAGAGAAGCAAAGGTATTATACTTACTCCACAAATTTGTCGCTTTTTTTACTGAAAAATTAAACATTTGGCTCAAATAATGTATATGAAGATGATGTAAAAATCCTTTTTTTCAGAAGTTTTGGGTTATTTTTTAATAAAAATTCCCTTTTTAAAACATTTTAATGTTTTCGAATAATCTTTAAATAATCCTCCGACAGAGATATACTTCTGTTTGCAGAATGCTTCAAGAACAAGAATCTTTGCAGAGGAATCATGGAAAACATACTTCAACTCCTTTTCCTACTCCTAATCCTACTCTTAGTTCAATGGTACCTAGATCAACTCACAACCAAACTAACCACATCAACCAGCTTTCAGATTCGTTGGTTAAAAAATCTCTCAGTATGAACTCATTTCCGACAACAACAAACAACTTTCCGACATCAACAAACTTTCCGATATCAACAAACAATTTTCCGACATCAACAAACAATTTTCCTACTTCAACAAACAATTTCCCAGCGGCAACAAACAATTTTTCCATAAACAATATTTTTCAGCCAAATACTGGAGTTTCTCAAGGTATGTTTTCCTTTGATTGTAATCAAATTTTTATTTTTCTAAAATTGTAATAATTCTATTTTCCAACTGAGTGATTTTGGAATTAATCACAAATGTTTTGTTCATTATTGCAGTAGTCTACTATTCAGTATATTAAGATTAAATTTTAAAAGAAAATTCTTACGTTGTAGGTTTAGGTAGCAGTATTGCATGGGGTCAGTCTAATCAACAAACAACAAACTTATCCTCCACTATGGGGAACAGTATAAGCAACAACTCCATGTTCCTTGGCTCCAACAACAACTTCATGGGATTCCAGTCTAATCCCGCTCAATCAGGTAACCCCCCTATCAACGATCTTCTCGGATAATCAGCGATCCTTTGAGATAATCAACGATCTTCTCGGATAATCAGCGATCCTTTGAGATAATCAACGATCTTCTCGGATAATCAGCGATTCTTTGAGATAATCAACGATCTTCTCGGATAATCAACGATTTGTTAAGAAAATAAGCGATCATCTAAGGAAATCATTTTAAGATCAAGTATCTTAAGAAAAATTTAAACTTTTAAAGAAACAAAGATCTTAAATTCATAAATAGTTTCCCACATTCCTTTATACACTGATCATTGATCAGTGATCAGTGATCAAACAATTAAATATATATTATACAAAACTTGTTTAAAAAATCTAGCAGGTTTTGTGTTATCAGCTATTCGGTTGTAACTCCCCTGTCATCGATAATGATGATAATGAATTATTATTAATAATATTGTTATTGCTAAACTTCAAGAAACTATAAGCGTAATTTTAAGGAACCCTTCATGCAAAAATACTAATGCTCGATTCACAACGGTGTCCTTAAACCTTGTCAAATCAGGTATGATTATGAATTACATATTAAGGTATATAAAAAGTGACTTGCGCATTTCTACTGCAAGAAACTTAGGGGAACCAATCATTTTAAATCTATAAAAACGACATTATCTGCAACATTTTTTATCCGATATAGGGTTCCAAGAGTACCGTTGTGAATCCGGCATTGATATTTTGCTTAGTGCGTCTCTTTAAAGAAATGTTTCCTACTAACAAATAAATGTGATACTTATATTTTTATTTTTTGACGACAATTTTATTTTTTTTAATGTAACAGCTTGAACCTTGATTTATTTATTGCATTTTAAATTTATCTTTAATGTTTATCAATAATATGTGTGCAATTTTACATCATGTAAATTTAGATTTTATCCCTAAAATGTTACATTAACTATATGTTCAAATGAAATGATGAAATATATGTTTAGTTGATAAATGAACATGTAAATTTGACGGTTAACAAAAGTTTCTGGATGGTTGGCTTAAAATAAAGTATAGGCTTCCAGGCGCCCATCTTCGATTTTACTTTTAAATGTCACTCCACCTTTTTTATGGCAAATTTTTAAAATCCTTTCCATACAGAAACCTTCCCTCTGATCATGCGAGGTCCCACACAAATTTGAGTCTGATCCGTTTAGCCGTTTTGAAGTTTATTGGAACCAAAGTAACAGACAGACAAGCAAAGTATTTGAATTATCACATGAAAAGTTTTCTCATAAAGGACAAGACTTTACAAGATCTGAAGACCTAAGTTCAAGATGACACTGTGTGTGATTGTTCTAACTTATTAAAAAAATGCTAAATTTTAGTTTTTCCATTTTGTCACTGCAACATATATCCGCAAACCACTTAATCGAAACCATAATAGAGAATAAACAAAATATAAGAAAATTAAGAATATTTTCTTTGTCCTATGGTTTCAAAAACGCCAGCTCAAATCATGAAACATTGAATAGAGTTAGGGAACCAACCATATTTGAGCCCCGGCTCAAATTCTTTAAATTCGGCCTCAGGTAATAAAAATAGTTCCAATATTACGATTCTTATAATTAATCAAGTTTTGGTATAGTTTAACGGTGGATACCTGTTTGAACTACAGTCGTTAGAACTATTGTTCATTTGAACTAATGACATGACGTCATATCCTGTAGTTCAAAGCAACACACTACTTGCTCGTAAGAACTATAATTTACCTATAATTTCAGTTTTCAAATTTTGTTATAATTCGAATGAATTGTTAGCAAACAATTAAAGATATAGTTAAAACAATTACAAAGAAAATAAAAATAGTTCAAATTAACAAAAAAGTTCAAAAATATTTCTAAATGAACACGAATTTTTTTTTAAATAACCCAGAAAATTGTTAACACGTGTGTATTAATTAAGGTTAAGTTAGGCTAAGAGCTATTTCTGGGCAGAGCGCTGCGAGTAGGACAGTCTAGGGGGCCGGTTCAAATGAACTAAAAAATAAACTTCAAATGTATGTATTAGTTAGGTTAGGTTAAGACGTAGTAGTTTAAACAAACAATAATTCGAATGAATGACAGTCCAGTTTAAACCATATTTGGATTTTAATCGCATGGAGCTCTTTATAGCCACATATTTCATGACAAATTAATTAGTTCTACAATTACTGAGATTAAGTGTATTAGTATAAAACCCTTATAATTGTTTTAGATGTTTCTAAAGGTTTGGGTTACAGTGCAATATAATAACGGTTTCTAAAATAAAAATATGAAATCCGCAAACCACAGAAAATCGCGGAAATTTGTCAAAACATTGAAAAATATTTAAATGCCCCTTGCAATCATAGATTTTCTTTATTACAACAGCCATCCCGTTAATTATATTAAAGGGGCAGTAAGCGTAATATCAAGCGACACACCATCCAAAGATGACAATGCCCGATAAACATAGTTACCCTTTACTGAAGTATAAATGCGCATATCACATTTGTGAAGAAACCACAAAGAAAATACTACGTTTCTTTTGAAATTTAAAAACATTGATATTTAATTAATTTTTTATCAGAAAAATGTTTCGAGGTAGGGTAAATAGAAAATTGCCATCCCTGCATAGAGGGTAAATTGAAAATACGCTTACAGTAAATCTACCCAAGGAAAAAAGTATTTTAGTTACATTGATTTTGCTTTCACAATTTTAAATTGACAATTTTTAAAATAGTTTTGATCGTCTTTGAAAGTTGGATAAACTTTTTTTTTTAACCAAAATATAAAAAAGGCAGCGGCCAATCTGTGTTACCGAGAATGCCGCAATGAATTATAAGACAGAGAAAAAGCCAGCTCTAGCCGCGGCGCTCGGCCCCCGAGTCTGTCCTAGCCGCGGCGCGCAGCACAGAAAGTGTCTAAACCTAACCTTACCCTAAAATATATACTAATCTCTCTTTTAATTCATTGCGGCATTCATGTAACAGAGTTTGAACGCTACCTAAAAAATAAGGATATAGTGAGTGTAGGTGCACACTCTATTATCAGTCTTCAATCTTGCACAATAAAACAAATATTTATTCATTTGAAACTTTTATTGAATAGAAAAACATAAGTGAAAAAACAGATTAGAGGTTCAACTTCATGATGCAACACCCACACAGCTCCAAAAACTGAACATACAAGATAAAGTGAAATTATCTATCAATATATTTATATTTATCAACATTAAAGGGGTAGTTTGCCCAAAATTATCTCATTCAAAATTAAAAGGGAAACTTCTTAGTAATTGTCAAATTATGTATCGTACAGTGATCTGAAATAGAAAGACGACTTTATAGCAATGCTCAAGGGTATTTGATGTTGTTACAAAGAAAATAGTTTTTGCTAAACACTGATCACTATTTAAGTTAAATGGGTCTGTTTACACTGCACAATTGTTGTGTCCCATGCTACTAGGAATTTTTAAAGTTATAACTTGAGCGCAAAAGTCGTCTTCCAATTCCAGAGTTTTCAATTTATAATTGAATCATATACCCTAGATTCTTAAAAATTTACGAAATTAAAGCATTAAAATCGAAAATTACAACACTTACGTATTCCGCATAAAGGTGTAATCTCGAGTTTGAAAAAATTTGATTTTACTGTAGATTATTAATAATGAAGATCGTCGGAAAGAAAACGCAAAAAGCAATCGGTCAATTTACACGATATAACATAATCGCTTTAAATCAACTTTTTCCATATAAACCGCGTTGTAGAATCTTTAACCTTACTTCCGGCCTCTGGTTTTTGTGTAAAAATTAAAGGCATAAATAAAAATTAAAATTATTTAATATCAGCTGGGGGACACTTGTTACAATGCAATTTTATGAAATTTTCGTGCTCAAATTAACTAAATGGACTTATAAAAATAGTAATTAAATTACATAATTATTTTATATTAAAGAAAAATCTTAAAAACTGAATTTAACGAAATTCTATTCACTAGTAATTCTATTCACTAGGAGTTCTATTCACTAGGAGTTCTATTCACTAGGAGTTCTATTCACTAGGAGTTCTATTCACTAGGAATTATATTCACTAGGAGTTCTATTCACTAGGAGTTCTATTCACTAGGAGTTCTATCCACTAGTAATTCTATTCACTAGGAATTCTATTCACTAGGAATTCTATTCACTAGGAATTATATTCACTTGTAATTCAATTCACTAGGAATAATGTTCACTAGGAATTCTGTTCACTAGGAATTCTATTCACTAGGAGTTCTATTCACTAGTAATTCTATTCACTAGAAATTCTATTCACTAGGAGTTCTATTCACTAGGAGTTCTATTCACGAGGAATTCTATTCACGAGGAATTCTGTTCACTAGGAGTTCTATTCACTAGGAGTTCTATTCACTAGAAATTCTATTCACTAGAAATTCTTTTTACTAGGAGTTCTATTCACTAGGAGTCCTATTCACTAGTAATTCTATTCACTAGGAATTCTGTTCACTAGGAGTTCTATTCACTAGAAATTCTATTCACTAGGAGTTCTATTCACTAGGAGTTCTATTCACTAGGAATTCTATTCACTAGGAATTCTATTCACTAGGAATTCTATTCACTAGGAGTTTTATTCACTAGGAGTTCTATTCACTCGTAATTCTATTCACTAGAAATTCTATTCACTAGGAGTTATATTCACTAGGAATTCTATTCACTATGAGTTCTATTCACTAGGAATTCTATCCACGAGGAGTTCTATTCACTAGGAATTCTATTCACTAGAAATTCTATTCACTAGGAGTTCTATTCACAAGGAGTTCTATTCACTAGTAATTCTATTCACTAGAAATTCTATTCACTAGGAATTCTATTCACTAGGAATTCTGTTCACTAGGAATTCTATTCACAAGGAATTCTATTCACTAGGAGTTCTATTCACTAGGAATTCTATTCACTAGGAACTCTATTCACTAGGAATTCGATTCACTAGGAATTTTGTTCACTACGAATTCTATTCACTAAGAATTCTGTTCACTAGGAATAAAAATGATTGGTCTCAATATTTAACACGAGTTAAATCAAACTGAACGAGTTAACCTGACCTAAATAAGTTAAACTTGACTAAATAAGTTAAACTGTTTAGTGGTTTAAACTAACCTGGATTTCAAAGCCTTGAATTAGAAGCAATGTAGTGGTATAAAACCACCAGAAGGAATAGGGTAACACCTAATAATACAAAATATAATAAAGTACAATTTAATTTTTTTTTATTTATTTGGAATCTACGCATTTTCTGTAAAAGTCAACATATTTAACTTAGAAAACTAATAAACCCCGTATTTTATCGAGTTCTCCAATCAAAATTTGAGGCAAATCAAATCGGTTCAGGGTTTATGAGTTATGATCGGACACCCAAGTAGACAGCCAATAGATAGATGACATTTTACTGATTGGAAGGAATGCCATAGGTGTCCGTCTTTAAGATAAAAAAATGTATTTCAATGTTCAATATTCACTTTTTTTGTTGGATTTATATAGAAAAGAAGTTTAAAGAAATAAACAAAATCTTAATTCACAAGTATGATTGTTTGTTGTTATTTTGATAGGTCATTAAAAATTAATAATCTCATTAAAATCTTTAATTTATACAACTTATGCAATTGTAGGACCTTAGGCTTTACTTTAAAAAAAGTGAAACTCAATTGTACCCTTGAAAACGTTGTCGGATCAAGTACGTATTAAATATCAATGTTTATGATTTTCAAAATTTATTGTTTACAATGGTGGGTTCTCTGCAAAAGTGACTTGCGCATTTCTACTCTAAGAAAACATAGGAAATAGGACTAATAAAATTTTAACACTTTTGAACTAGAAAAAGGACCAATTCTTTCACATTATTGAGCGACAATAGTTTTAAAGGTACCATTGTAAATCGGACATTGCCATCTTTGCATCGAGTGTCACTTGAAATTACGCTTACAGTCCCTTTAAAACATGGCTTACAAGGATTAGAAAGACGTTTTCAACAATAAGTTAAAAACAATATCTGATAAAGAGAGAAAAGAAAATTATTAATATGGGTATAAAAATATCCGCCTAATACACCGAGTTCATAAACGTTAAAATCATAAAAATTAGTTTTCAGCCTTCAAATGTACATTCAGTGTTTCGAGACGCATCTTGGCGATTCCCAATTCAACATGTAAAAAACTTTAGCTTAATATTTATAATAATGGGATTCAGTGTGAAAGAACAATGAAAATCTCTTCAAATTCTGAAATAGCTTACCCAACATATTCGCAAATATTGCCAGCTGAACGTCGGTCACCATTTTCAGTCTGGAAATAAATTTTTTAAAAGTAAATATTATAAAAATGGGAACTGTACTCTGTTCCGTAAACTGTACTTCTTAACTGTGTACTGCACTGTACCGGGTACGGTAAAACTTGCTGAATACTGTACACTGAACTGTGAAATGTACACTTAGCTGTGTAGTTTGCACTGAATTGGGTACAGTTTAATTTGTTGTGTACTGTGCACTGAACGGTGAACTGTACACTACTGTACATGTAACTGTGAACTGTACAATAAACGGTATACAATACACTAAACTGTATAATGTTGACAAACATTTGAACAATTTACAATCTTGTTGTGCTGAGTGTTTATGGGGCAAAACAAGGTCAAAGTTTAAATAATTTTTGTGAGAAAAAATTAGAGTGAGAAAATTTTTATTTTAAATTCTCAAATTTGTCTCAAGTGGACTTTTCCTGATTATTAAAAACATTTTCTAAGTTCAGTATAAAAAATAAATGTCAGGAAGGGGTTGTGAAATTTCTAATGTCGAAAAAAAAACTAAAAATGTCAAAAAAAAATCTTTTAATAAACTAGCAAAAAATTAACACGAAAAACATTTAGTATATATAAAAGTAAAATTTTCAAATATAAAATAAACATCTATGTACTGTACTGTACTGTACTGTACTGTACTGTACTGTACTGTACTGTACTGTACTGTACTGTACTGTACTGTACTGTACTGCACTGTACTGTACTGTACTGTTAAACATTATGTACACTGTACAGGCACTCAAGGTGTTTGAAGAGAAAAAGCATGAAAGCAAGTTTAAGTTTATGGATTTGTTGCTCAAGACCAACTATTCAAAAGTCTACACATAAGTAAGATGAGAGAAAAATCACACTTTTTTAAAACAAATAAAGTCAAAAACGCACAATAAACATTGATCTAAAAAGATTCCTCTAAAAGAGGATTTATTTTTACCCCCCCCCCCCTCTTACACTCCCATTAAAGGAAAAATGTTGATGCTAGTACTGTTAAAAAAAATTAAGGGGGGGATGGTGATGGCGTTACTACTGCTGGCAAAAAATATAAAAAAATGCGCCAAGTTAGGAAATTAAAAATGGCGGCTGATACAAAACAAATTGGCGCTTGTGCTAGCACTGAAATGGATTCCACTTGGCTAAAGTCCGTTAAACCAGATCACAGATAATAGTTTAGATTCATCTTTGTATTTAGCTCAGTTTTCCTAGTTCGAACTTCTTTAGGATCTCGGTAGCGCTGAAGATACAAGAGTCGATGATCCCGGCCACGGTGAAGGTTCCGCCGACGATTGCACAGATGGTGGTCAGGAAGTGGTAAAGTGGTGGCCGGTCCTCGTGATAGCGGACAGTTATAGGGTTCAAATCGTATCTAAAAATATTACGAGTTAAAGCATAGAAATGTTTGTATAGGAAAATTAAAAAGGAAAGGATCAGAGCTGAAAACTTTAGAATCTCGATCACTTGATCTGAGTATCCAATGGACATACTTTGATTTTTCTTCTTATACTGTTCTTTCTTGAATATAGTAGAGAAAAATCAAAAACCGGTTTTTAAAATTAGAGAGTTCCTCCAGCTTCTGTATATTAATCTTAAATGGCGCGCAAAATTTCAAATTTATCGGCTTTAATATACGCGACTCTGATTGGTTGAATTTTATACACTTTTTAGGTAACAAGTGCAAGACTAGGTTAGTCTCGATATTAAGAAAAAGAGAGGATCAAGCATTAATCTCTATATCCACCATTCTAAAGTTTTCAGCTCAGGCGAAACAAAATAAGTTTGTTAAGTGCAGAATTAAGTAAAAAAGATTGCAACGAAAAAGCTGGGTGAGAGTTTAAAAGAGACTGTCGATCCAATTTTCAAGTGACCCAACTGACCCTCAATTTATAGCATAAATGCCGGATTCACATAATTACCTTTCAGTCCTTTATCGGATTGCAAATTTTTAATGTCTATGCTGCATACGTCCGTAAGTAATTTATCGGATAGAACATAAAGAATGCTAGATGATTTTCAGTCAGACAAAGGTTTCACGGACACCGCTGTGAATCAGGAATAAAACAAATGATGGATAATTGTAAGTTCGCCGACAATCCCTTTAGAACTAGAATTTTTTTAAATGGGACATTAGTAAATAAACTTCAGACTTTTAAGTAATCTACTTTTTCATGAACCTTTTACACCAGTTTCTGTGAATAAAAACATAGAGATGCAGGTTTCCTTTTATGTTTACATTTACAACCTGTTTTCTTGATGAATGTATTAACTGTTGATACGGAAGAAATATGAGTTTAAAAACAAGATTATAAAACCTCACAATCTGCTTTAGAATTATCATTTATAATGGCTTATTGGATGAATTTTAAAATGAAGAAAATTGTTATTTTTTACTTTTATTAAAGAGTGGTTACTGTTTACTGTTAGTGTTATTAAAGACAATCTTACAGTTTTTCAACTTTACTATTTTTTAAAAAATTGTTGAAAAATAAGTTAAATGTTTAGGATTGTATGCAATTTGAAATAGTCTTTTCTTTTGATTAAAAACCGATTCCAATTGAACACCGGCTTAAATCTCTAAACACTGAATACAATTTCAGGTGGAACCAACCATGTTTGAGCCGCATCTCAAATTTGAGACGCTGCTTAGGTTCTTTAAATTCGGCCATGGGTTATATTTTCTGTAGGGAGAGGGGTTTGTCTTTAAGAAACAGTAATAATGAAAATGGGCCTTCACCAATCAAACTTCTTTTTGAATAATTTTCCTAAAAATTAATTCGGTCAAAATACAGCACAAAAAAAAACTTAAATTTTGGGCTCCACTTGCAGAACTTTGAAACATATGAGGAGGGAGCAGGGAGTAAAGAATAGAAGGGAGATATAACTGACGCGGTACCATATGATACATACTTTGCAGGCGGGCACTTCATTTGAATAAGAAATATTTGTCCGATGTACAATGTACATTTACCGCGTATACAATAACCTATTCTAAATATTTCTTATACAAAAGGAGTACCGTTCGCGTAAGTTATATCTCCCTTCCATTCCTCACTCCCTGGGAGGGAGGCGATGTTTAAAATAAGGGTCTGTAGTAAATATCGACCCCTGAAGGAATATACCTGAACCAGAGAGCAGGAATAACCCTGCCTCCGTGTCCAAAAGATATATGGGATCTGTACGCGTATGTATATTGGAAAGCGGTCAGCTTAAATCCATTCAAATCCTGAAAGTAGAATATTAATGAGTTCTTTTGAATTTATAAAAAAACTTAAAATTTAACGGATATCATAAGTAAAATTTATGTAAACTAGGCTTTTAGGGCGCTTCGCCCCCATCTTCTATTTAAATTGTGAACATGATCTTTTTGTTTACATTTAAAACAAAGAAGAAAAAATTAAAATTCGCGGATTTTCAAGAATTTAATTTTTTTACATAATTAAAAACCTTAAAAACGCATTTTTAAAAAAATTTTATCATTCATAAACCTTCCCTGTGGTCACGTGATGTCCCACAAAAAATTTGGGCCCGATCGGTTCAGCCATTTTGACGTTTATTGGATACAGACAGACAGACAAAAAAACAGACAAGCCAAATTTATATATTGATAAAGAATTAATTTGGAATTTCAATTGCTTAGGGACAAAACTTTGTGTTAATCAATAATTAAGAAAAATAATTAAAAAAATGTCTGAACCTAATGCAATAAAATGCATTTGTAATCTGAGCTTGATAAACAGCATAAAAATTTAAATGTTGACGAAAAAACATCTTGCCTCGTATGTAGTTGGAACTATTCTCATAATATATTCATGAGACTCCAAACTGTTCCCATCCAGCCTGCTCCTGCCCCCGAGAGGGTTAAAGCTGCTGCGAATGTTCTTGGCGCTGATTTTGCGGATTTTACTGCCAAATGAGATTTCGTGGATTTCATGCGCAAAATCGTACTGGTCCGGCTGGACATCTACTGAGTGTGTGGAGAGGTGAAAGTTCCCAGGAACTTTGTTTACCTGGGGAAAAATAAGTCAACCTTTTTTCCCAAAATATTTCCATTTTAGTATTTTATCATTGGGTTCCAATTAAATTATTCAGACGGAGGAAAGCCACACTATTAACGGAATCAAATCTCACATGAAAGTAAAATGGTTCTTTCGAGAATTGTAGATGGCACTTAAAATTACGTTGACCATTAAATTCGAAGCTTGGTTTTAATTGCGAAATAACTTAATTTAATTTTTACCTGAAATTTAGCCTCAAATAGGCAGCCAGTATCTCCTAGAGGGGTTTTTACAGTGTTTTCTATAAAACCTACTTCATGCCGCCCTTGATCGTCCTAGTTGTAAAGTTGTTTCATTTTAAGCAATACGTACAGTTGTTTAAATTTTAGGCATTTTAGTTGTTTATATTTTAAGCAGTACGTACAGTTGTTGAAAATTTAGGCATTTCAGTTGCTTATATTTTAAGCAGTACGTACAGTTGTTGAAATTTTAAGCATTTCAGTTGTTTATATTTTAAGCAGTACGTACAGTTGTTGAAATTTTAAGCATTTTAGTTGTTTATATTTTAAGCAGTACGTACAGTTGTTGAAAATTTAGGCATTTCAGTTGCTTATATTTTAAGCAGTACGCACAGTTGTTGAAAATTTAGGCATTTCAGTTGCTTATATTTTAAGCAGTACGCACAGTTGTTGAAATTTTAAGCATTTCAGTAGTTTATATTTTAAGCAGTACAGTTGTTTAAATTTCAGGCAGTACAGCTTTGATTGTATTTTAAACAGTATAGCTAATAACATCATAAGCAGTACAGTTGTTTATATTTAAAGCAGTTCATTTAATATTTAAAGCAGTACAGTTGATTATACTTTTGACAGCACAGCTGTTTATACTTGACCAGTTGTTTTTCATTATAACTTAAACCGTACAGTTACATTTTAACAGTACAATATTTTTTTAAACTTGATTTTTAGTTAATTCCAAATTAGTTCAATATACCTGAATATCTATTCCTAAAAACTCACAGCGCATGTTAGGGATACTCACGTTTATTCGAACTGGAATCCTAAAGGTATTATTAATAAATTATGTTCTATGGTGTGCACTGTATATTTTCATGAAAACTCATTCATCCCCTCCCTCCATCTTTAAAAAAAAGTTTCTACAGAATGGGTATTTCTTTTTTTTTTGGGGGGGGGGGTTGCTGAATTTGTGAAGATAAATGATTTACTTTTAGTACAACCCCAAAACAAATTCAGTTTTGTAAATGATTTTTTTTATTATCGTTTAGAATAGCGAGCGCCAAAAGAAACATAATTTTAACATAATTTTAACATTTCGTAAAAAATCATTAAAAAATCCTTTATTCAGAGAAATATGATTTCTAATTTTACCTTTCTGTTGGATCGTTATTCTCGACAATAAGTTCGGATTTGATGTCTGGAGATATGAACCATAGCAGTTCAACAAATAACATGGAAGCGATAAATATGCAGCAACAGATAGAAACAATAGCACCGGTGGTAGTAGGCTGAAAACAAAAACATGATGTAATGAATAAAAATAAAAGTAATCCTGAAATCCTGTATGTATATATATATATATTAAAGGGTTTCCCGTAAAGGATGATACTGTAAAAACGACCTGGAGCTCTTAATAAATGATTATTTTAAGTCTTCTGTCGTTAATTTTAACTTTTAAGGGCTTATTTAATGATTTGATAAAGAAAGAAATCAGTTTACAGCTGCATGGCTAGGGGGTCGAGCGCTGCGGCCATGTGTTAGGTTAAGTTGAGACACTTTCTGTAAGATCCATGTACAAAATTGATAGGAGGGGGGGGGGCGAGTTCAAAAACCGTTCTCTAGGAATATACCTCCTTATGTTAAGAAAAGAAGCGAAATAAACTATAGCAACCGACAGTAACTCTAGTGTTTAAATTATAAAATATTACATTGCCACCATGAGTAACCGAGGACCGTTTAGCTTCTTTAAGAGAAATTTAGAAATGAAGATATTTTGAGACAATTTTTGAACAATAATAAAATGTACTATATAATGCTATCTAGAGGATTTAATTAACTCATTACGATGATTTAGTCTTAATCAAATGGATCTATAATGTTATCTATTTTCAAAATGAAGATGGTTTATTTCAAGAATATCAAGGATTTGAGCCTTTGAAACAAACTCATATTTGCAAATACCTACATATATGTTTAAAGCCTAATGGTGTAAACCTTTGAAATTTCAAACTTAGATTATTTGATCTAACAGCTAATTCAAAGTTTAAAATATAGACTACGACATATAAGGATGCAAAGTTATAGGGATTATAACATTCGAGTTTGTGGCAAAGACTCAATTCCTTTTCTGTTTTTTTTCGCAAATATGCTAACCTGTGTCAGATCTTTAGGGACCTTTCTGTAAATGTCCATTCTCTTTATGTCGAACCCCATTTTAAATTTAGTTTTATCTATCCTGAAACAAACAAAAAATATCAGATTTAGATGTTCAAACAAAATTACACAAGATATATCTCTAATACATAAAGAAAAACACTTGACTATAAAAAATATAAATTTGTCGAAAAATGTGAATTTTTAAGGATATAATTAACACCAAATCATAACTTCCTACTCATACAAAACTTTGCTGATTTCCAGTCAGGTAGAGAAAATACGTGTCAACTAGCGTACACTTTTCTAATCTCTCATTGGTCCAAATATATTTCCTGGCTTCTCATTGGACCACAGCATTTAGATGTTCACAATAACCCGCCGGTATAAAGTGCTTGTAAGCAAAGAAAATTTAAGGTCTGGAAAGTAGAAAGTAGATTGTGAAGTGTAGGGTTGAATTATCTAGATTCTAGGAAAATTTAGAATTATTTTGAAAATTTAATGAACGTACAAGAGAATTTTAAACATGACAATTTGGTTCCAAATATAATTATCAAGAATTCATCGATATGTCTAGTATTTTCTTTATCATATTTTAAGCACTTTAAATTAGAATTTTTCTTTTTATTTCAAAATCAGAATGGCTTGGAAATGGTCAGAATTGCTACAATTTGTTTGTAAACAAAAATATTGATTTTTCTTACAAGATGACGACATTCAAAACCGTTTTAGTTACTTGAAAAAAATATTTTTATTTTTAAGTTTTATTCAAGCTAAAAATTTAGAAGCATACCTTTTCTTAACACTGAAAAATAACAAAAGAAATTTAATTATATCAAATGTATAAAATCGATTGTTCATTATAATTGTAAGCTTTTTATGTATGTTCGGGGCCTTGGATTTTTTTTTTTAAATTTTAGAGGTCATTGCAGTTAAACGTAGCATGGGGGGGGTAATTATAGCAGGAGCCATTTAAGGACCTAATACTATATCTTAAGTATAAATATATGTATAGAACATAAAACTGGTTTTATAAGGAAATAATATTTTGAAATGTCTGATGACTCATAGATCCAAACCAAATAATGTCGTCATACATGGTTTGGATTCAGTCAAAAATAATAAACTGTGCGAGGATGTTGTAAAGCAGACAGCTCTCATGTTTTTATGATTAAAACATAATACATACAATTATTTAATAATGGAGGACTATAAATATCTTTTTAAAGTAAGTAAATCGACTATAACAATGATACATTTTTTCATTGAAAAACTGTTTTTAAATTTAATGTAGGATGGTTTTGTGGTTTTAAAGAAATTGCATCAGCTGTAGACGTGGAAAAATTTGTTCAAATAAAATTAAAATTTATTTTCTTGTTTTTGAATGAATTTATGAGTTTTCGTTGATGGATTAATTTTTAGTTTTTGATCACAATATTTTAGAGATTTATACAGGGTTTCTATTTGTCTCCGTTACCTTTACTGAAAATGTCCCACTTCACTGTTTTGGGTCTGTCTTAGAAAATTTCTGGAATGAGCGCTGCAGGACAGACTAGGGGCCGAGCGCTGTGGCCAGTACAGGCCTTCAATTTCAACAATTTTCAATAAAATTAGTTTGTATTTAGAGTTATTAGGTTAAGACACGTTCTGGGCCGAGCGCTGGGTATATTCCTAGAGAACGATTTTTGGACCCCCTC